TGTGTTAGTGAAGATACAGTCTAACTCAAATGCACCCCCCAAGGGGATGTTTGTGACCCCAGGTGCGTGTTACTTCTGCAGTTAGTCAGTAAGACTTCTTACATTCTATAGTATCTAATTTCTACAAGTACTAATAGAAAGGTTGGACACTGCTTAGTAGTATTTTTATACTCTTCAAGTATCTTTTGTCTGACACCCAACTATATGCATAAACACTAAGAAAACCACATTATATTGTTTGCCATGTCCAAGAGGCTTGACATAAATACTTCCAATGAAGTACACATTTCAAATAAAACAAAGATTTGAATGAAATACATTCTCTCAATATTGTTCACTAAATATTAGGAGTTTGATAACAGCAATAATATAAAGTACTTCTAGGTTTAAGAGTAGTTTGAATCAACAGTTCTAAAATTTGAAAATAATACCTTCATTATTTACCTGAACCCATCTTTAGTTTATTTTACACGTGATCACTCTTTCCCCCACTTCAAGATGGGTGACATGACTATTCAATGATGAAGTTGCAGAAGCTGAAGACTGAGGTGAAAAGTGAAAATATGTAAGCAGATGCTTCAAGGAGAAAGTGACAGTTGGGCAGAAACACACACAAGGCAGAGAAGTAACAGGGCTCAAATGGCAGAAGTGGAAGACACAAAAGGTGACACAAAAGAAGAAACAAACACAAATGTGCAAAAAGAAGTCTAAGAAAGTGAAGAAGGGATACAACTTATTTACGTAATAGGTACAACATTCAGTCATGTGTTCCATAAAAAAGAATTGGAGCCATACAATCGTCTTAGCCAAGAGGGAAATTATTATCGCTAGCAAACGCTGTAACATAAGTGCTTCACTTATTTCATGTATTCCTCAGAACCCATGAAAGGCAGGAAGAAGTGAGAGCACAATTAACAGTATGCCTGTCCCAACAGAACAGCAAATGGAACTGCCCTGACCTCTCTCCTGGGTGTCTAGAGAAGCTGCCACCAAAGGAACAGGTGTCGGGCCTGCTGCTTGGTGACTCAAGTCTTGTACAGGCTGTGCTGTTTACTGGTAGCCAGAGCAATCCTGCCCTCTGCCTCGCTGCCTGAGCCTGACACAGCAGTTCTGTCACTTGCTGGCTGCTTGCACTGTGAGAAATGATTTCACCACCTAACGGTGAGCCACCTCTTTGTAGCCACAAATGCCACCTGTGGCCCGTGGGATGCCTGTGGTCAGAGATTGGAGAGAAAAAGCCAGAAACAACTAAGAAAGACTATCTTTAGAGGAAGGAAGAGAAAGAAAGGGGAAAGAAAGGAATGAGAAGAAAGTGGAAAAGGGCCTGGAGAGGGGTGGTGGATAGTACTGAAGGCCTCGGGGTGGGCGGGAGATTGCACACAAGGTCACTGACCTCTTTGCTCCACAACTCTTTGGCATCTGCTTTAAAAATACACATTCATCCAGGGGATTCAGATAAGAACAGACTAGATGAGCCTTCAGTCTCCATGTCCTCACTTGTCCCTGCCTATACCGTGACTGCGTGGCTCTGTAGCTCACTCCTGCTTGTTTGTCCTCCTGATTTTCCTTTTCCACCTACCTCACAGAACTTGTGCTCTAAGATCAACAAGCTTAAATTTATTTTTTTAAATTTGGGGAAATACTGCTCTCAACCTTCTTACTTTGATTAGAACCTGGCTATCCTTTGAGCATACTATTTTCTCAGCAGCGCTTTGTGAATGGAAAAGGTTCTTGTCATGTATCCTTGCATTAGACTATCAATATTATTATTTTTTTGGTTCCTAATGCAGGTTTCAGGTCAGTACTTTTCATTTTTGTAAAATTTCCCATTCTTTTTGAGCCTTCTGAAACCCATTTATCCTCTAACTCTAGTCTTTGGTATCATTTGCTGAAAACTAACTTTCACTCTCTACAAAGCTGTGGCACCAAATTTATAACCTGTACCTCTAAATCTCAATTCTTGATACTACGCACTATACCTGGACAACCTGGCCAACACTCATGCCCCACCTCTTCATCTCTGAGCACCTTTCCCCCTTTACCTCGCTTGGACAACCTTCTACAATCACACTGAGAGCATCCTGAAATCACCGAGGTCTCTCACTTTCAGAAAAGCTATCCTAGTGAGCCATTTGCTCAGCAGCTCAGGCCACAGCTGTCACCTGACTGTGAGACCTCTACTTCCTCTCCATGTATCAGCACTTGCCTTACCTTTTCAGGAAACCTAACACTACCGACCGTCCCTTCTCTCCTACAACTTCAGGCTAGGCTATGTTGCTCTTCTTTTTTAAATGGAGAGTAAGCACGCTTAAGAGTCTTTAACCTCTTAAAAAATGTAACAAAAATATCGTCTTTCTGTACTTTATGTTTCTGGTTGCAACTCTACTCCACAGCCACGTTTATGGAAGCTGGGGATTTTTGTATCCACTCATTCCTGTTCACTCCTCAATCTCTTCCAATGTGCTTTGCTCCTCTACATGCATTCCACGGTGACCGTGCTAGCCACAAAGTCCCCATTATGTACAGCTAATCCACCTCCAGCTGCAAAATGCTTCTGTACAGAGAGGCGAGTGCTCCTGTGAGTTTGGGGGCGGGGGGCACAGCACACCATCCTGGGCGGCCCCTGTCATTAGCTTCTTCTCTTTACTTAAAAAGTGAAGGGCTGTAGGAATTGCCTGAAGCTAACCTGTTTCTTTCCTTAGGTTATCTCACTCAATCCATGGCTTCAAACATCATTTAGTCACAGACTCTGAACTTTCTATCTTCCACTCCACATTAAAAACTTCAAATACACTATGTGCTAAATGTATTTCTCTTCAAAATCTTACCAGTAAGTACACCATTATCCACTTGATTTTCACATCAGAAACTAGGCGATCACCTACGAAGTCTATCTTCACCTGAGTCTCGTAACATTCTATCTTCCTCCTTCGTACACCTCTTGAATATATCCACCCCTCATCATCTCCACTGCCACTACCTCCTCAAAGATATCAACTGGACTGTGGTGGCTTTCTAAGCTGATCTCTGAAGTTTTTCTACTCTGTTCTTTTCTATCCCTTATTGTCTCAGTTACTTTTCTCTTGTCGCTGGGACAAACTATCCAACACCCAAAATCAAGGAAGGAGAGGTTTATTATCTCCCAGTCAGCAGAGGTTTCGGTCTGTACTTGCTGGCTCCAAGAGTGTCACATGGTAGAGGGCAATCATTCATGGGGGCAGAACACAGCAAAGCGGCAAGAGCATAATGGCAGGAGCAGTGGCAGAGAGCAAGCCTCTCTCCTTTCCTGATGTCGCCTTCAGGCTATCTTCCCCAGGGTGGGTGTAACTCTCACACCCATAATTCCAGCAGCCCTCGCACCTATAATCCCAGCACTGGATCATGAATTAATCACAAACTATATGAGGTTTTGGGGGAACAACTAGACACAAACCATAATACTTATTAATCTGTGGAGTGCTCTACACTGTAGCAAGAAGAATTCTAAAAATCTAAAGCTGATATAATCTTTTCTTGCCTGTAACATGTTAGTGGCTTTCTGCTTACAGTGAAAATAAAATTCTGAACTTTTCAGGGGGCCCTTCAATACCTCCAACCTGCTGAAGCCTAAGGGCTCACCGAGTTCCACACCTGCTCTCCAGCTGACTGCCATCTGGAGTCTTTTCATGCACTGTGTGTGCTTGCCTGTGTGCGCATTGTGTGTGTGTGAGCATGTTTCTGTCTGGGCACTTCTTTTCCACAAGATCACCCCTTTAGATACCATATTAGCAAACTGTACAACCCATGAGGGCAGCATCTACGAGGACGCTGCACCCGCCTGGCCTGGCACACTGCCTGCCATGCAGCGCTTGTTCAACAGTTTCAAGAGGAATGAGAACACAAATGAATGCCTTTTCTGACTTTTGATTTCTGTGTACATACTACACAGCAGTGTGACTGATATTTTCAGGTTTTACTCAAACAAAGAGGGAGAATAAGAGCAATCAAAAATTCTTTCGTCCAACTACAGTTTTGTTGGGGGGACATTTCAGAAACTGCAGGAAATTTCAACTTGTTAGTTACTTCTACTCACAAAACATATTCTTCACAAATACATGAAAAGAGAACACAAAGAACCCAAAAGGAACCCAGAAAGAGCGGAGGAAGACGACTCCGCTGGTGCAGTCTGCCCTGCCACTCCCAAGGCATAAGCCACATCCCCACCACATTCGTATACCAATTTCCTTTGTCCAAATTTGATTAGAAATAGTTTAAGAAGCATATTTAAGAAAAACAAGAAACAAAAATGTCTAGCAAAGAATTTTCATTAAACATTTAAGTACTTCTTGGGCAGAAAGTCCTATTATCAATCAAGTTTCTTTCTCAAATTAGTAATTATTGGAAAATTCTGAATGAGCATAGGAAAAAAATTAAGAAAATAAAGTGAAATTTTGCTTGTTCCCTACAATATCAGTAAATGGTGTTCAAATGCACATGGCGTCTTTCCTGTGGGGTCTTCATTAATGTGAGCAGCCAATCTATTTTTCCCTTCAATTTTGTTTGGCACAACCTTTCATCTTTTTTTTTTTTTTTACCTGATAACTAAAGATGAATAAAACAAAAAAGAGAAAGTTTTCTTTAAATACATCGTTTTAAAAATAAGCCAGAAGTGTATCTATTTGAGTGACAGAAACAGTGTAAATCCATGGTGACGCTACAGCACATGTGCTGCGGCCAGCTGTTTGTTATCAAAACCTATAAAAGGTCTGCCAGAACGGATGGCCTGGGAGCGGAGCTCTTCCTCGCCCAGGAGGCGCTGACTGCTGCCAACCCTGTCAGCGTAAGTGTTGCTGTGACCCTCCCACAACGAGGGAGCGGGTGGAAACGCTGAAGCTCAGGCAGGATTTAATGGACACGGCGTTTCCGCATCTTCACTGTGACGACCTTGTTCTGACTTCAATGCTCTCCTAGTCCCATTCGGCTGCCATAACTATGCTTCAGTGTGCTCCTGAGCAACTTACCTTCACAGGAATGTCCTCCTCTTGGCTTGCTTGCTCTGAGGTGAAGACATAGGAGATTTCTTTGTGAGCTGTAGTCTGGCGGCAGATGGCACATTTAATGGAGCTTCTGTGAGAGCCCACACTATACTGCTCGATAATGATAGCGATGCACTCATTACAGAAGCAGTGCCCACAGGTCAGTACTGCCCACTGCAAGGAAACACAGGGCACACGCTCGGTGAGATGCTACCTTTCCAGTCTGTAAGGTAACAAAGGAGGAGACTCACAATTTCACTTCCTGAAATTAATGGAAGTGAAATTAATGAACTTTCTGGCATTAACAGTCATGAACACATGCTGTTAATAATTTCAAGTCTAACGAGTAAGCTTTCACAGGGTTCGGTTCTAGCCACTGTAGTCAGTCAGTCACCATTATGCTGTAAGATGCTGGCATTCTCGTTTCAGCTTTCTGGTACCAGGGGCTGAACTTAGGACCTTGCACTTGCCAGGCAGGCGCTTATGCCACTAAGCTATCTCCCGGGCCCCGTATTCTCATTTCAGATTTAGGAAAAAAAAAAAAGTAAATTATTCTTTCAGCACTTTTGAAGTAGGAATTGAACTCAGGTTCTTGTGCTTGCCAGGCAGGTGCTATAGTACGGAGCTATATTCCTAGCCTTTCAGCACTCTAATCGAAAAACTGAGAACATTAGTTTTCAGAGAATATACCCTATTCAGTTTACTAAGTAGACTGCTATTGTCACTTTTTTTTTTTTTTGTATTTGGTACAGGGTCTCGCTATGCTGCTCAACTTGCAGTGATCCTCCTGTTTTCAGCCTCCCCAGCTCTGGGATTACACATGTGTGCCACCACGCCTGGTCTCAGTGGCCATGTGCAGCTGGGGTTGGGGCCTGCATGGCCTGTGGTGCTGGGGATTGAACCCGGGTCCCTGCACTTGCCTTAGCAGCTGCTTAGTCCACTGAGCTATCTTGGCGGCCCCCTAGTTTCATTTATTAAAGCAGTTGTATATAAAATAAGATGAACTAGTATCTTTTTTCCCATAATTTTTTTGATAATGAACTAGTAACTAGTATCTGATGTATTCTATACATTTAAAAAACTCACAGACATTTCTGAAAGATAGCTTGTACTATTAAAAGAAAATGATAATGCCAAAATCCTTGTGTATACCACTAAGCATACGCCTGTCCTTGGTAACCAAAGTATAGACAAGTATTATATTTAGTCTCTCTAAAAGCTATGGCTTTTTATGAAATCTTTTAACTTTTTTCACCTGGTAAAACAAATAACAATGAAAACTTAATGGTGTTATGAGTGCAAGATTGCTCAGTTTCCAGCTTTGTTTCTTCCAGTGCTTAGACCTGTATAGAAAGAAAGTGTACACCAGGGCCTACCCAAGGCGCTGTGCGGCTTTAAGAAGGGTCTGAGAAAGGAATTCATGCTAGGGCTGGCCAGATAGCTCAGCAGACTAAAGTGCCTGTTTGGTCAGATGCAGGGATCTGAATGTGATCCCCAGCCTGCTGTGCTGGCCCCACCCCTGGGGTGCACTGAGAGAGCAAATGAGAATGGGTCTGGTGGCGTGCGCCTGTAATCCCCGTCCTTGAGAAGCTGAAAACAGGAGGATCACAATGAGTCTGATTTGTATGGTGAGACCCTGTAGACCCTGTACTAAATACACACACACACACACACACACACACGAATTCATGCTAGTGGAGAGAAAATTTGAGGGAGACAAGACTGGTTTTATAGTTACTCAAAAGGAATAGGGGTTATTTGGAGTTTGGTTGGCTGACACCATTTCTACTGCCCTCTAGCTGCAGCTCTGTTCTTAAGGGTTTGTGTCAGAATCCTCTGGAGCTGAAGTTGGAACAGAATTAAGGAGCTGCTTTCTCGCACTTTTGTCTCAGAGCAGCCCTGTTTGTACACTATGTACCTCCAGGGCCACTGAGGAGCAAGGGTACTTCCTTCATTTGAATGGATTTCTGTGACTGGAACTCAGAACGGACAAGCTACAGAGCCCAAAGGTCCAACCACATTCACAGTGGAGGGGAAATCAGAGCCACCCTGCACCAGAGCATGTGGAAAAGGCTACAGCAAAATGGCCCCAACAGGAACAAATGACAACACCTGCAGCAGCATAATTAGGTACGTGAGTTACCTTTGATATATCCTAACTTAACAGCCATAACTTAAAGAGGAGGATGGAGAACTGGGAAGCTAAGGGTAAAGTGTGGAGGTCCTACAGACTGTGGATAGGAACAGTTTGCACAGTGTAGTTTTCTACCCTTACAGAAGAATCCAGGGTATTTGAAGTGTAGGAGACCTATGTTACACTAAAATTGAATCAAACAATGTATTTAAAACAACCTTATAAACTATAAACATTTTAAGACAAAAACGAAGTAAATTCCAGAGACAACCCAAGTACACAAATCTCATTGAGAGGGTCTACGTAGTTTAGGCTGGTCTTGAACTCACAGTGATCCTCCTGCCTCAGCCTCCCAAGTGCTGGCATTACAGGAGTATGCTGCCACCCCTAGCATGACATCTTTTCTTTTAATGTATCAATCAAGATAAAGATTGTTCAGATGCATGCCCACGCATGTCTTTGAGATTCTAGTGCTAACTTTATCATAGAAGGTAAGAACTTGTTATTCCTATGCAGTTGTGATGAAGAAAGGGGAAAGAGAAGGGAAAGAAGGAAAGATTATATGTTGAAGACTTTGAAGAATGTAAGTAAACGACAGTTACAATTTGTTACGGTCTGTGTTTTCATCCCCCCAATGCCTCATGCAGTCATTGAGACGCGGTTCTTTTTTTTTTTTTTTCCGGAACCGGGGATTGAACTCAGGCCCTTGCACTTGCCAGGGAAGAGCTTATTCCACTGCGCTATCTCCCTGGCCCAAGGTGCAGTTCTATAGTTTGTGATTAATTCATGATCCAAGGCAGGGATTATGGGTCTGCATACTGCTGGGATTACAGGTGTGAGTGCTACACCCAGCCTGGGGACCGATAGCTTGAATCTACCATAAGAGACAGATTTGCTCTCTGTAGCCACGGTTGCTATTACTCCTCTTGCTTTTTGTCACTTACATGAAAGGCTGCTCTCTGTCATGTGCTGCTCAGCCTTGGAGCCAGTTAAGTATGGACTGAAATCTCCAGTAACTGTGAGCTAAATAAACCTTTCTTTCCTTCATTTTGTGTGTCCAGTATTTGTCCCAGCAAAAAGAGAAGAGTGGCTCAGACACAGTTTTACCTGTTTTCCCAGCTGTCGAGCACAGATTGGACAAGGTTCTGGATTAATACCTCCTGATGTTTTGTCTTGAGACTATGCAAAAAAGGAGAATCCAAAAACGTGTTAGTTATATGTTTACTTATGCAATCTGATATATATTTTGCATTTCAAAAAAGTGAACATTGGCAAATGCAATTTAAGTAATTCAGTTATTGAGATGACCCAATACTTTATCTATTACTTAATTTATAATTCTTGGGTTATACACATAACATACACATATCATGAAAAATAAAACTGAAACAATTATTATACTTTCTATATTATCAGTAATTGCAGTTTATTGCAAAATTAAAAGCAAACTATAACATGCTAAATATTCAAAATTTGATTTTCAGGTTAGATTTTTGTTATAGAGCACTTTGTGTCCTTTTTCTCTTCTTAATTTCTTATATATAGCTATTTCTGCTTTTCCTTCTTCCAATTTTGCATGCATATATCTGGTAATATGAACAACTAGGTGGAAGACAATACTGCATTACAACAAATATTGTGAAATACATATTATTTTGTTAAGTGAAATTCTGTATCACTTGTAATTTTTGTTTTAATACTATTTTGTACTCTTTAAAAAATTAAAAACTAAAGAAAAAGAAATACAGATTACTTAGAAACAATCTGTGATTTTGAAATAAAGGCTCCTTAAACATTCCAAGAAAATGGGCACTTATAATGTATGCCTACTTGACATGGTCAGAGAAGCAGGAAGAGACAACGTACAGTTATGTAACTCTGCCTCTTACTAACAACAGCTGCTGCTTAGCACCCATTTCCTAATCTCATAAGGCAAAACTAGAAAGGCAAATAGCTCACTAATGGAAATATTATTGAGATTTTTATGCCTAGAAATTATATCAAAACTTACTTTAAAAAATCTTATTAAAGTTATAGCAAATACTGAAAGAGCTTTCAAAAAGTCATTAACCAAGTTCTAATGTTGAGGCAAACCAAAGAAAGTAAATTAGGTAGATCACTAGAGGTTTTGTGGCTTTCCTAACCAAAGTTAGACATTTATAAAATTATTCTTTGATTTATGAGTAATAAAACTCAAATAAAAGATAACTGTTCAAAACTGTGCAGATTCAGCCCTTTTCAGGACTCAAAAACTTCATTAAAATGGATATAGGCATTTTAAAAAATTGAGCTGATTTTGCCTGTGAATTACTGCTGTGTCTCAGACAAATAATGAATCATTTAAAAACATATGGCGTAAAATAAGCTCTGTACATCCCTTATGATCCTCCAGGTCCCACAACCGGGGGATGGCTGGCCCTAGCTGAGGCTGCACAGTCCAGGAGAGACACCCTCTTGTCTGGCAGCAGGCAGGTTACAGCTGGGCTGTGGGAATGGCTGCACTGTAGGCTCAGCTCCCCAAAAGCTAATCTAGTCTTCTTCGCTTATTCTCAAAGTCCAGAGAGCAGTAAGATTGGGAGAGCCTGGTGCACACAGACTTTCCAGGTCTGCACTGCGTCACAAGGTCAGAGGCAGATATCTGACCAAGCCTCGACTCTGTGGAGGGACTGAAACTATGAATACACATAGGGACAGTATTATAGCAGCTTGTAAACAACCTGTCACACATACCTCACAGTATCTCTTATTTCCTGATATATTTAAAGAAAGAATTGGTGCTCTTTCAGTGAGGGTCAGACTGCAAATCTTTTTGGCTTTCTGGGTCATACGGTCTGTGTTGCAACTGCTTAATTCTGTGTTTATAGAGTAAAATGCAGCCATGGGCAACAGGAAAACAAATATGCACAGCTGTGTTCCAACACAATACTTTACTTATGGAAATGTGGTAGGCTTGGTGGGTCCTCCGTGGGGTCTGCAGAATCCTGATTTGAAAGATGGACATTTTCTTTTTACATGTCAACTGAAATAGGGAAAATGTCCTTGTAAGCATATCTTATATGTTGCTGCTTATTTTCACTTTGACTCAGTTCAGAATGTTTTATTTTCATGCAACTTCTTTGAGTCAGGGGTTATTCAGAAGTGTGTTCCTAATTTCCACTTTGGGACCTACTTATCTTTAGTTACTCATTTCTAACTAAATTTCTCTTTAGTAAGAAAACTTATCCTTACATAATGCTGATCCTTTGAACATTTTAAGTTATTTTTGTTATCATTATTATTTTTTTTCTTTGGTACTGGGGATCAAACTCACCACCTTGGGCTTGCCAGGGAAGGCGCTTAAGCAGCTGAGCTATCTCCCTGACCCTTAAGTTAGTTTTGAATCACTATAATTTGATTTTGGTAAATGTCCCATGTACACTGAAAAAAAGGTACATTTTGCTGTCATTGGTTGTAGCTAACTGTGTCCACTGGACTGTGTTTATTCAAGTGCTCGAAGTTTGATAACCTTATTGAATTCTTGGCCATTTCTCTAAAGAATGAAGAACTTCGTAAGAGCTTAAATTGGCTTAGTTCATCCTTTTGTGCTATTATATATTTTACTTTACAGATGTGTATTCCACACAACAGCATGGCTCTTTTAAATAGTCAACAGTCTTTTATGTTTACCTACAAATTTAAGCTTTCCTTTTTTCTTCATTCCCTATAGTTCTATCCTTCAATCTAGAGTAATTTTCTTCAGTCCAAAGAGTCTACTGGGGATGAATTCTTTTAGCTTATCTGAAAACATTTCAATTTATTTATTTATTGTTTTTTCAGGCTATGTTCTCTAAATATAGAAATCGAGACAGGCAGGTTTTCTTTTAGCATTTCAAAGATGTCATTCCACTATAACAATATTAAATGAAAACGCCTCTATGTAATTACCTGTTCTGATAAGATGCTCTGCCAACCAAGTCCTAATTCTTGCAGAAAATGGGAGTTTTTATCAACAATCTATCAAATCACTAATATGTTATACAATACTTGGATCACAACACATAAAAAGTATGGCAAATTACATTAAAATATTGAACTTTACTTTTTATTCCTATTCCTTCTGATTTATCAGCTTTGGGACATTTCAAATTTCCAAAGAACAAACTGGAAAAATATGTATTATGTATGTATGAATTCATCTGTATGTCATATAATGCAATTTTCACCTAGATGTAGGTTGGAATATTTCTATTTTAGATTTTGAACTATAGTCTGTTTACTATACACTGTTTTTTTATATCATCTGTGTAAATTATAATTTCTATATATAGCTTTGTGATTTACGAAGCTATGTTAAAGTTAGTTTTTGGACTCATAATTAATACAAACAAAAGAGCAACTTTTTAAAAACCTGTACTATTAATTACAGGAATAGTATTTTAAATGGAAGAAGTCATTAGTATGGTAATATTATGATAGAACAGTACTGGAAAGACAGCATATTTTAAAAACAATACCTTTTCCAAATTAGTTAGGTAAAGCAGCTGCCCAAGTTTCTTCTGAAGCTGTGATGTAGCAACGGCTTTATCATTTAGTAGTTTTATACGATTCTGTTCTACCTAAGATAAAAGTAAAAAACTATTACAAATCAGAAAAATGGCTGAAAATTCACTTACATATTAAAACTAGCATTTGAAATGTATGATAAAATTTAGTATAGAGTTTCTTTCAAAAGGAAGCATTATACACCTAAAACTGGCTAAAAATCAGTGCAAATTCTATATAGAGCGGATGAAACATAAGTAAATGACAGGCTGTTTCCACCAAAGTGATTTTATCAGACTATCCCTGCCTTTCTTTCTCTTCTTCCCTGGTAGAATCCAGCAGAAAGGAGGATTCAAGCAATAGAAATACCTTTTCTTTTTTTTCTCTCTCTCTCTCCAGTTTTAAGAATCAAATGTGAAATCTGCTTTTAAAGAAAAACTTACTGAGAATTTATATTTAACTGTGATCATATGAATATTTTAAAGGCTTTCTAAAGTATAACTATCCAACTTTTATAAAAAAGAAAAAGATTTAAAGCGTTAAACACAGGATAAAATTACAAAAAAAAACTTTTAATGTGGAATAGAAAAGGTTGATGTAATCCTACAGTAGAAAGTGGGATTTACTAGAAGCTAAATTGCAAGTATCTATAAATAGCAAGAAAAAGATCACAGTAAAAGAAAAAGTTTTATTTATTCTTGAGGAAAATTTTTCTAGTTCTAATAAAGCTAAGGTAATATAAAATATGTCTAATAAATGACCAAAAATACCTAGAGGATCTGACAGAAGGTGCTAAAAGATGTGCAACCTGCAGAGAAATAAACTCTACCAACGTAGTGGCTACTAAACATGAATTAGATACGACCTTGCCTTACCTTTGACCACTTTTGACCTATAAAGCCAATGCGCGCTGGCTCACACTGCTAGGAGTTATTAAGAGCGTACTTAATAGAAGGGAGCATGGCCCTGACTCTACCTCTTCTGCGGACCTTGCAGTTTTTTGCGACGCCAACTTGCCATGCCCTTTCCTGTCCTGCACTTGCAGTTTACCTCGTGGGGTTCAATGATATGATGAACGGGTGGGGTGGGCTTCGGTTCCTTAGGGTGCCGCACTCTTAGTCGTTCTGTAGCCATTGCAAGTTCATCGACAGCAGACACGCGATTCCTCAGTGTCATCCAGTACTCGTGAAGCCACTGAAGGAGGACAAAAGATGTGTGCCTCAGCAACATATGGCAGTGGGCATGAACAATTTCCACGGACCACACCTCTTTAGCTTTTTTCGCACAGAGCACTCACAAGCTTTCTTGATAAGATCAAATAAAAGCCTCACTAGATTGATAGAATCTCTGCATTACTTATTTATTGGGGGGTACCAGAAATTAAACTCATAAGCTTGCGCCTGCCAGGCAGGTGCCATGCTGCTGAGCTACCTCCCTGGCCTTTTCTCTGTTTTATTTTAAAAAATATTTTACTATAACATATTTAACATATTCACAATAATATATATATATATATATATATATATATATATATAAAATAAGAGAATATTAAAATATACAACTCAATATCATCCATGTAATTTCAGAGAATAAAACAAATTCCTTGGAAAGCCTTAGTTGTATCACCATTTTTCCTCATATGTATTTCCTTCAATACAATTTTCTGCCAGATGATGGGGCAGCCATTACTTATGCTTTATCATTTTACATTTTCAAGTGTAATACTATAATATGTGTCCTTCATTAGCTGGTCATATATACATTTCTAAAATTATATCAGTATAAACATTTTGACCTGCTTTCTTCACTAGCATATGCTGAGGTCAGTATACATAGCAATAGCTCATTTGTTTGATTTTCTGTGAAAGACCTTAGTTTGCAGAATTACGAAAGAAAATGCACAAAGATACAGGTGGGCACATGGTGAGCTCTCCTCTGGACACATGGGATATAGTCAAAATGGGCCCAAATGAAGACTCCAAAGGTCACTGGACACCATCTATAATACTGTCCTCTTTTATAGCTCACTGTAACTATGAATGTGCTTTGAATTTTTATTATTTTATTTTGATACAGGGTCTCACTATGCAGTTTGAACTCATAGTGATCCTCCTGTTTCAGCCTCCCCAGTGCTGGGATTACAGGCATGTGGTACTGGAGATCGAACTCGGGACCTTGCACTGACCAGGCAGGTGCTTAGGTCCCAGCTCTGAGCTTTGACTCTGTAATAGCGAATTACAAGTAAAAAATATGAACTGATGATTTTGACTCTACAAGTGTCATTTCCCAGTTTATTAAATGAATGTACTGATATGTAAGACAACATTTATTTTCATTCTGAACAAAAGCTTTTATCTCATTTTAAGAACTTTAGATTAAAAGAATATAATTATTCAAAGAATTCAAAATTCATAAATACTATAATCTCAAGAACAGAGCCTAAATGCAATGGAATTATTAGTTTAACATAAAAGGCCATTTTGTGTTCTCATCACTGGAATAGTTTCCAGCCTTGTAGCTTGAGAAATATTTATGTTCCCTGACTTTCAAGGTTTATGCTAACATCTGGTCATTATTCATGAGCAGAAGCAAAACAAAAACGAACAAGAAACAAAACTGTACTCTAGTTTCATAGAACAGCAATGTAAGATCCAGAAAAGAACAGAATGAAATACCTTTACAGCTAGACAAAAGTGTTCATAGAACTTTTCATTTAATAAAAGATTTGCTTTTAGTAACTTAATAAACAGAATTTAAATATCCATTTATTATCCTTTATTTGAATAACATTTAGGGAAAGAAATTATGAGACTTCAAATCTGTACCAGCAGACTTAGAAAAATTAAAGAGAAAAAAAAGAAAGCAGCAGCTCAAAATTAACGTGGACCAGAGTTTTAACATGGGAAGTCCTATGCCACTGTACCTTATACTCCTTTTTCCATGCTTCGAAGAGTTCCATTGAAGCACTGCCTTCCTCTATGAATTCAGTATCTAATCTGTGTGATCGTGCAAATGACAGGATTGCTTTCATGGATCGCTCTGTCTCGCTTATTGCCCACAGCCCCCGGGTGGTGGTGGGAACTCGATCATCCACCAGGCCTTCTTCATCTTCTATCATCTCCTCAAATATTGCAGTCTGGCCTTTGACTCTGAAAACGTACCAGAGCATGACAGCAGTGATGACTGTGCCAACAACAGGTGGCAAGTACTGGAAATGAATGATACTGGCAGAATGAGTAGGAAACAAGTGAGCAACTTTTCAATAGCCTTCAGCGTCACGTCTACAAGATTATGTATCTCCATGTCTGGAAAAATAACAACTCTGAAAATGCTGGAAGCATCATAATTTATTCAGTGTTTCTTTTTCTTTTTCTTTTTTCTTTTTTGGAGAACTAGGGATTGAACTCAAGCCCTTGCACTTGCCAGGCAAGCGCTTATTCTACTGAGCTACCTCCCCGGCCCCTTCAGTGTTTCTTGACAGAAATCTGGGATAGCCAAGATCTTTCACTTGAGAATTAAAACAAAAATCAGCATATCACTAGCTGTGCCCCAAAACACATCAAACAAACACAAGAAAAAAGAGAGCTACACTACAATCTAAAAGTACAATGCCATCTCCCTAGTGTAAGAACTCAAAAGAAGAAATAAAAATTGAAGGTATAATACAGTTAAATGGAAAGTGAGAACTTAAGGATTAAACAATGAAGAGAGAGAAAGGAGAAAAGTTAGGAAATATGGCCAGGGCAAAACCATACATTTTAAGATGATTAAGGCAATGGTTCTAAGAATCTCCATCAGCTTTTTGAAAATGGCAGGTAATGGGTAGAACTCTCACCCTGACTAACTCTATATGCTGATATCTGTGAACTAAGCAACTACACTGAGGATAGCAATGTGTAATACTAAAATCATGCTTGAAATATCTGTCATTTTGGTCTTCTAAATGAGTACTGCTTCTAAGGTCCTATCAATTATTGCTATACTCTCTTTAAAGTAAATGTTTGTTTAAAAAAGAAAGGTAATAAAAGAAAACAAGAGACAAGAAAAAAAAAATAAAAGTACAACGCAAGCTCCCTTTTTTTTTAAGGGGTGGGAGATAGAATTTAGCCTCTTTTAAATTTCCATGTTCGTAAGCAGACGTAGTTTTGCCAGCGCCACAACTATCCGCACTCACTAGTTTAATCCCCATGGAAGGACACAGACTCCACTAAGAAAAGGTATTCAAACTTATATAGCATACTTGCTACTCAGGACTCTACTAAACAGTATTTTATCATACTTATTTAAAATGAAAAAAACATAATGAAAAAATAGTATTTCATAAATTAGGATGCTGAGGTTAGAAAAGCAATTCATTCATAATAATGAGCTAGGATCTGAGTTTATATATCGACTCCAGAACCCAGGATCTTCTTAACTATTCCTCAGTTAGTTATATATCCCTATATGACATAAGCATTTAGGGGAAACTTCTGCATAGGTAAAGCTGACCATGTTAACTGTAAGTTTCCTGAATTAATACATTTACTTATTTTTTAATTTTATGTATTTGGAGCAGGGCCTCACTATTCAGCTCGGACGCATAGTGATCCTCCTGTCTCAGTCTCCCCAGCTCTAGATTACAGGTGTGCACCACCACGCCTGGTCCCAGTGGCTGCTTGACACACCCAGGGCAGGGCTGGCACGGCAGGTGTGGGGTATCGAACCCTCATCCCTGTGCTTGCCTAAGCAGGCGCTTAGTCTACTGAGCTATCTTCTTCGCTCCTGAACTTATTTAATAAAAGAAAAAATACAATAAAGGAAAACAGTCTTATAATCAAATACTAACTCTCATAAGATGTTTCATTTTCCTGATGGGTAACAATCAAAAGGAAAACTTACGTATTAGAAAAGAGCTTTGACTCGTACTCTGTGAACAATTCATCAGCCTTACAGAAGACACAGCTGAAAGAGATTATCAGGGAACATTTATAAACACACAAGCAATCAAACAACTTCAAAAGCATACATTTTATGTTTAAAGAGGTATCTATTTTAGAAAATACATGACATGGTTTTTTTAGTCAGTTGTTTTTATTATCGATAACACATTTTCTATTTGTCTGAATTAAACTGAAAAACTATTTTATACATGCCATTATAGCTTAATGGGATGATGGCGTATCTTCAACATACCAGTTGAGAGGCAGTCTGGCTGGCCGGAGGTGGCACATTGTTGCAGATTCAATAACATTACGAGATGGAGGCTTCTCTAGGTTTTTGACAGCTTCTCTTACTAGCTTCTGGAATTTATTGAGCTCATCCATTTGTGTTGTAAGTAAGAACTGAAGACCTCTGCAGTCATGAAACCTGATTCCCATGACCAGCACACACACAACGTAAAGAAAAGATTAGATCAATTTTCTCAAATTCAGAACATGGTTGCCAAGGAAAGTGTCAAAAGAAATAGCGCTGTACATTTTCCTAGCCATACTTGGGCGTTTCCCTCAGAAGTGTGGCTAAGGGCACCTTGGCAACTCTGGGGCAGCTATTAGAAGATAGGATCAGAAAATGTGTGCCAAATATGTTTCTGTCTCAACTGTCTGTGTAAGGTCAGGATTTCTGCATTTTTTTGTTTAAAGGTCAATGCCTGCAGATGTCCCTCTTGACATTCTTGCAGCATACAAAAACATGACTATAGGAAAATAAAGACAAAATTGGAAGAAAAAAAAACAGTCAATCAACATCATAAAAAATATTAATTTCTGATTAAGGTTTGCTTTTGATTTTTTCAGCACTGGGGTTGAACCCATGGCCTTCATGGTAAATTACATTTCCAAACATTTAAAAATTTTTTATTTCGAGACTAGACCTTCCTAAATCACTAAGTTGTCAGCAATGCTCAAACTTGTGAATCTCCTGCCTTAGCCTCCCAAAATGCTGAGTGAGATTACAGGTGAGACTTACAATTCTTTTCTCTTTTTAAGTGTATTTAGTGCAGGGTTTATAGGGTCTCACTACATAGATGAGATCTGTAGTGATCCTCCTGTTTTCAGCTTCCCAAGCACAGGGTTACAGGCCTGGGCCACCACGGCTTGTGGTGTTGGGGATCAACCCCAGCCCCTGCGCTCTGCCTAAGCAGGTGTTTTAGTCCACTGAGCTATCTGGCCAGCCCTACATTCTAATTAAGCATTTACCATATAGCAGGCACTTTGCCAAGTATGCCCAAGATGTCTGTGAATTATTATTGTGGAAAAAATTATGGAAAAAATTAAGGTGTTCTGGGTTACAAAATTATTTTAAAAATTACGTGACAAAGTTACAAGATAAAGCCCCATATAGTACTTTTTAAAAATTTGTTTTCTGGGGGAGGATTGAGCCCAGGGCCTTGTACATATTAAGAACTTCTGAGCTACACTCCTGATCCTCCAGATAGTGCTCTTAACCATTCTGATCAACAGTGGGTGAAAGAGCTGGGAAGAAAATTTATGGGTGCACCCATTTGGGTTTTTGAGCATGGTTTATGTGCTATCTACCACGAAGTGTTCTGCTACAACACCCACTTCCCCATCCTAGGCAGGCACTTCTTCAGGCTCAGCCACTTAGGGCACTTCTGATAAGGAGTTAATGTGTCCTTCGGGAAAAATTATTCACCATTTCCACTTCCAGAGCAACAGACCAACTTGCCTCTGAGGACCTTGGGGAATGCTAAGGGTTGGTGAGAAGAAGGACAGGGGGTAAGAACATAATTCTGATTTAAGACGGGGCCTTTGGGACAACTATGCTTAGCTTCCAGAGAACAGATCCCACATGGAAACCATGACATCTTATATCAAAGAAAAAGTCTACTTCAATTTGTGCTTGAAGTTGGCTTTATGTAACTCCAATAAAGAAAATACTTTAAAAAGATTTTAAAAGGTTCTAAAAAGAGACATTTTAAAATGGCTGGTACATTACATGGAAACCAGGACCTACCTTTTAGACTTGTATCTAATATTTTTGTTTGAAATGTGGTTTTCACAAAGATAAAACCCATAACCATTATATAGCCCAATACTTAACTGTACCTCCTGATACAAAATGATCTAAATACTTGGGGTGATTATTCAATTTTTTCATTATATTATTTTCTTACTTCTCTGACATAGAAAGCTTGTCAGTCTGTTGCTTGTAGTTGCTGGTTATTTCATTTCGTACTCGCTGAACAAGTTCCTCATCTTTAGAAAATTCTATTGCTCTGTGGATTACATTCAGCCACCAAGGAGAATTAGAACGAATCTGTGAAAGGTAACAGGTGATCAATGTTTCCATCACTGGGAAGGGTTGTGACAAAAATTCAAAGTAAACAACAACTGCTATTCTCCAAGGGATTGTAAACAGAGCAGAGACACATGTACACAAGTCTGTGTACACTGCATGAGTATCTCTTTTGCAGACATAAAGAGAAAAAAACATTTTTCAATGAACTGGGATAAATGAAAATGTATTGTAATGCATATGTTTAATGAAAGTATTAAGCAATCAAAATAAAAATACAGTACTCATTGTCTATGTGAAAAAATGACAGGTCTCCTCAGCATAAAAATAGCCTTCCTTCTGATCTTTGGTTAGATGAACTAGAGTCTATTATAGTAACTACCAAAATTATATCGCTAAATGATAACTGATGAATTAGGAGCATGTAGAGCTACTGATTTAAGGTTTTAAAAGAGTGTATTTGTGTAACCGGCTCCTTAAGACTTCGCTTTTAGTATCATAAAGGATAATTTTTCTAAAGCATAAATGGTACATGGTTTGTAAGAAAAATAGTAATTTTTAGTTCTAATGTTTCAGCACCCTAAAAGATTTTGGAAGTATATATAAAGAAGGTTGTTAAGGCCTACTTTCTCCAAGATAACTGACTATAAAGAAATAAGCATAAAGAAGTCAAAACTTCAAAAAGTTTATTTATGCTTCTAGAGTAACCAAAAAGAAAGCTAACTATAACCTTGAATTACAGTGTCTCATGCGTTAGGAATCCCTAGGTAAACTAGAAAGTCCAAGTTTCTTCTTGCTATGATCTAAGTTGAGAATATCCCTCAGAGCTGCATGTGCTCAGAGGCAAGGTCTTCTGTAGAAAAGGGACCCTTTTCTACAGAAGACCTTGCCTCTGAGCACATGCAGCTCTGAGGCAAGGTCTTCTGAGGCAAGTGGGTGCTGCAGCTCACTGCTGGGAGTCAGGCCTGGCTGGGGGGTGAGTCTCGGGAAAGACAACTAGGAAGGGTTTAGTGCCTTCTCTGCCTCCTCCCTTCACCCTCTGCTTTCTGGCTCCCATGGCAGGAGCAACTTTTCTCTGCTAGGCTTCTCTGCCTTGGATGCAGACAGCCATCCACTGAAACCACAAACCAAAATACACCTTGATTTCTCAAAGTTGTGCTGTCTGGTAATACATGTCTTACTAACAAAAAGTAGCTAAGGACAGATTGTGACACTGGAAGGGGGATATTGTGTCTGTTACATGAGCATGTGGCTTGGAAGCCTCTGGTTTATAGGAAGAGTTTGAGAAGCTTTGGAGATACAGGCTCAAGAAGCCCTAGAATGCTGTCAGCTGGGCTTGATGAAAAATTTTGAATGCTGATAAAAATGCAGACAGTAAAACAAGACTTCAGAGGTTTCTGTCAGAAACAAGGATTCCGCTGCATTTGGACCCTAGCAGACAGTAGGTCTCCATTTTTGCTCATGCACTATACTCTGCAGCAGACTGGGATTAAGGGCAGTGGTCTGATTCATCTGGTGGAGGAAATTTCAGGGCAGTCTGTTGTTCAGACTCTAGCACTACTGCTTGCTGCTTTCAGTGAGATTTGCAGTCAGAAACCAAAGAAAGATCTTGAGTTTCACCAGAAAGGAAGGTTCAGTGAAACTCAGGTCCGGAATATTTTCACGGAGAATGAGGCTGCTGAAAAGAGAAAAAGAAGCCACATATTTTGAGATGGACAAATAGGAAAGCTGTGTTGAGGGCACCTGAGAAACTGAAAGGCCCTGCTCTTTGTTCCACAAAAGTGAAAGACTGTTTTGAAGTGAGCCCTCGGGCACTTTGCTCTTTCCAGGCCAAGTGCAGAAATGTTTTCTTGAGTCCAACCGTCCAGGTATGTAGGGAGCCAGTGGCTGCTTGAGGTGACTGTAGCCTTGGCAACATCCCCTTGGTGCCGACTTTGCAGGCATGCAGAATACAAGTGCTATGGGTGTTATGGGTGTGTCTGGTTATCTCCCCAAAGCCTCACGCAGTCATGGGCGGCTTCTGGAGTTTGTGTTTGATTCTTTAATTTTTTGCTTTTGGTGCCGAGGACCGAACCCAGGGCTTCCAGCTTGCTAGGCAAGCATTCTACTGCTCAGCCAAATCCCCAGCACCATGAGTGATTCTTGATCCAATGGTGGGATTATGGGTGTGAATGCCCTGGGGTAGATACTGTGCATTACAATATAAGGAGGGGAGAAAGGCTAGCTAGCTGCCTGAACTGCTGCTGCTCCTTTGGCTCTGTTCTTTGCAGAAAGGTTGTTTTCTGCCATGTGCCACTCTGCCTTGGAGCCAGCCAAGTATGGACTGAAACCTCCAGTAACTGTGAGCTAAATTAACCTTTCCTTCCCCAATTTTGAGAGTCGGGTATTTGTCCCAGCAACAAGAGAAGAGTAATGAAGACAAGGGTGTTAGTTAAGGAGGCTTCCACCTAGACTTCAGAAGAAAGCCTAGCAGGCTACAGTGTGCCTCTTGAGAGGCAGTGTGGGAAGTTGAGGTAAAATCAAGAAGTACGGTGGAAGCTGGAGAAGCTAGGGATGGGGACTGTCTAAGGTTATAAGCAGTGAGAAAAGTCAGCTCAAGAGAGAAGTCATAAGGTTTCCATTACACAGGTGGGGGTATTGCCACAGAGGTGGGGTTGCCTATCCTGTTTGGAACTCACTTCTTTGCCCCAGGTACTGAACATGAACCATGGGATTTAATGTTTGCCCCCACCTGCTTTGGTCCCATTGGTTTCTAATCTTTTTTTGGAATGGAAATGCTTACTCTTTGCCATTCAATGTTGGTAGCAGTATGCAACTCTTTTTTTTTTTAAAACAGGGCCTCACAGCTAAGGGAGACTTTGGACTTGGACTTCTCAGCATTCTTGAAACTGTTGAGACTTTGGTGATTTCTAGAGATGAACCAAATTCATTCTGCATATGGGATGCACAGGAATCTTTGGGGGCCAGGGTGGGGATGTGTGGTTTAGACTGAGAATGTCTCCTAAGAGCCTCATGTTTCAGAGGTGCGGTTTCTGGAGGAGGAAGGGAATATGGAGGTGCTACAGCTAGCTGACTGTTAGGTGGTAGTAACTGGTTCCATGCATATCTCTCCTCCTGGCTCCTCCCTTCTTTCTTTGCTTCCTGGTCCACCACAACATGATCAGCTTTCCTCTGGTATGCCCTTCTGCCATGCCACGTTGTCCTGGTCTGGCTGATCAGTCTAACTGCGAGCTACAATAGAACTTTTTTCCTATAAGCTATAGGTGTCAGATATTGTCTCCATGATGAGAAAGTAAGTAAGACATCCCCCACACAGAAGACAAGCAAAATGCTATCTGGAGATAAACACAGTGAGAAACACCGCACTTGAGGGACATACTTTCCTTTGGAGCTCACGTATAGTTTGCTGCACGGGCTGCAAAGCTTGCTGGGCTTCAGCTACTTCCGAATTACACTTGCTCATGTAGTGCTCTCGCAGCTGTTTGGCCTGTGTTGAAGTAGAAAATAAACACAAACTTTCATTCTATGTTTAGAAAGTAACCTTATAGAGTGTTTCAAGAACAAGATGGCTATTCCATGTATTTCACTTGACTTAAACATACAACTACAAATATATTATAGAAAACATAAAATTTATAATATTAGAAATTCCCAGGATACATATGAACAGCAAAAATGATCAACTTAGTCTACCAAATTTAAGCAATCTTAAAGATTTCTCCTTCACATTTCTTTTTTTTTTTTTTTTGCGGTACAGGGGATTGAACTCAGGACCCTGCGCTTGCCAGGCAAGCACTTATCCTGTTGAACTATCTCCCCAGCCCTCTCCCTCACATTTCTATTTGAGAAAAGATAAAAGAAGAAAAACAAATAGTAAACTTTCAAAATATGAGGCAAAGGACATCTTTCAGAACTATTTACTTTATGAAATAGTATAGCTTCTTAGAATTATTATAGTTTTAAAATACTTGAAAATATGCAGTAACATAGGTGTTACGCACAGAATATGCTCTTCCCAGATCCCTATGGTGAAGCCCTAACCTGCAATGTCAATGGTGTGTATTTACTTTTAAGTTACTTTTATTTTTCCCCCAACATGATGGTTTTTAGATACCACTTGAGGAGGTAACTGAAATTAAATAAGGGTATAAGATGAGCGCTTTAATTTAATGACTAGTAGTATCTTATAAGAAGGAGAGAAACCATGGATATCGGAGCATGAAGGGAAGGCCATGAAGGATATGGTGAGGAGGAGGGTGAGCCATCTGTAAGCCGTGAAGAGCTGCAGGAGAAACTAAGCCAGCCAACACCTTGACCTTGGAGTCCTAACCTCCTGAAATGTGAGACACAAATTCATGATGCTTAAGCCTCCCTACTCTGTTTATTCTGTTTTGACAGTACCAGCCTAGTTTACCTTTTCAAGAGAATAATGATGTAATTTCTAGGTAATCAGATTATTTTTTTTAAATAGAACATTTTTATTCTTATAAATTCAACATTAGAACACATAAATATTCTTCACTTTCTTCCATACAGGTGGAATACTCAACTGGCTTGAAAAACAATTATATGACTGAGGAATAGGAATTAGAGGCTAGCACATGGAATAGTGGAAGGAAAACTAGAAGCTGAACTACAAAACCTGACACATTAGATTTGTCTACTGGGAACTAGATTTCCTTTGAAAACTCTTAATACTTAGACTGCCACTGGGTCTCAAGAATGGAGTCTTCAGAAGCACATATGGCAAAAGAAACAGCAGAATGAAAATATAGCCTGCGGACTAGGGAAAATATTCAGTAACCATATACACTGTATCTAGTAAGGACACAGAACCAAAATAGGCAACTCAAAACAACAGCAAGAAAACAACCCAATTAAAAAAGAACCAACTACCCGGAAAGACACTTCTCAAAAGAAGACACCTACATGGCCAGCAGACACATGAAGGGTGCTCAATATCACTAACCATAAGGGAACTAAAATACCACAGTGGAAAACACGAGATAGCACATGCGGGTGAGGAAATGGAGAAAAGGGGAGCCTCACACCCATTGTTGGTGGTTCTGTAAGTCAAGAACAGCCATTTCAGAAATATGGACGAAGGGTTTGTAAAAATTCAAAAGCAGAACTACCACATTATTTACCTATTTGGCTTTTAAACATAAATCCAAAAGAAATGTAATCAGTATGTTAGAGACAGCTGCACTTTCATGTTCCCTGCAGGATTATCAATAGCCAAAACATGGAATCAAACTAAGTGCTCATAAGCTGATAAACTGATAAAATATAGTGCAAATCCATGATGGGATTCTATTTAGCTTTCAGAAAGGAGGACCTCTTACAACACAAAAGAACCTGAGGAACTCTGTATGACATAAAAGAAAAGCTCAGAAAGAAAAATGCTACATGATTTCACTTGGATGTGGAGAGTAGAGGGTAGAAAAGCAGTTACCAGGACGGCAGAGAAGATGGAAGACTAGGGTGAAGAATACAGGATAATTTCAAGTGGACAGAAACAAGAAATTAAGGAGACCTACTGTTCTCACTATAAAAATTAAGTATGAGGGGTAATAGGGATAGGTTAACTAGCTTGATTTAGCCACTCTACAATGTATATGTGTATCAAAACACTATTTTATACATTGCAAGTACATACACTTTTTGTCAATTAAAAGCTTATTAAAAAACAGCAGTAGAGTAAAAGCACTATGCAGTTTTAAAAATCTCATTTTCTTTATTATATTGTTTCAAATAAAGGCTCCAATTATAGGTTCAATACACTTCACCTGTATTTTAGTATTCTTCTTCTTCTTTGATCTTTAAATAAAAATGGTAAAATTCCTTGGGGGTATAATGACCCTTGAACAATTTGTGGCAATTCAGCATCACTCTATCAAGCAGAGGCAACATTTACTGGGCAGGGAAGTTCTTTGAGCAAACTGCCACTGAAAATCTGAGTCTATTTTGCACCTTCTACAACACACAGCAAGGTAGATGAAGCACAACAGTTTTTATTTACTAAACTCTATCTTTTGTAGATGGCAATTAGACCAGCAAAGTGTGTTACTTATTTATAATTTTTAAAAACTTATTTATTTGGTACAGGGCTTCACTGTGCAGCTCAGACTCATAGTAATCCTCCTGTTTCAGCCTCCCCAGCGCCAGAATTACAGCCTTGTGCCACCATGTCTGGTCAGGTCTTGGTGGCTGGCTTGGCATGCCTGGGAGAGAGGGGCTGGCACAGCATGCGGTACCGAGGATCAAACCTCTGATTCCTCGTACTTGCCAGGCAGGCTCTTAGACAGCTGAGCTATCTTGTTAGCCCTCTTTTTTAATTTAACAATGGCCCAGCTACAAGCAGTAATCATGTAACATATCTGTAAGAAAATTACGGGAGAAGCAAATCAGATAGAATATTGCCATTCTCTGCCAATCAACATCATCATAACGAAGTGTGGAACATCAAAGCAACAGGAAAACATAGTTATATTTACTTATATGTGTACCCTAGGAAATATCAGCTAGCTGAAGCAGAAAATTTGAAAAAAAAAATCTCTTATAGACAGAATGAAAAGCAGTAATTACCTCTTCTTCAAGTCTCCCATCTCGCAAAGTAGGAGGTATCCCTGGGTGCTTGGCCATCAGCAATTCCATCAAGTTATGGGTAGCATGAAGTCTCTACAAACACACAAGAAGCAGTAAGAACAATAGGCAGACAGTGGCTGCTACAGCGACCCTTGTGTTCATATGGCATACGGCACTAAGACTTGAGATCATCATAACCAAAAGTTTGCCTCTAAAACAATTTGAGTACCACCGCTTTAGAAGCATTATGCCAGTTTCACAGCAAAGGTCTTAAGTTACAATGACCTGAATTTTGTTCAGTTAAAAACATACAGCCTTATGAAGTATAGCTCTGTGTTCAGTAGAATATGTAGCATAGGTGTATTTTTGCCTATTGTTCATGCATTTGTCTATACAGGAAAATATAAGAAAGCCAAGTAAATCCCATGAAGTGATTGCACAGACTTGATTCTTTTTCTCCTGGAAGTACCTAGAGGCTTACTCTAGAATAAGGGGTACGAGAAAAGATAAAATGAAAGCAGTTTCTCCCTGTCAAATTAACATTTTACTGGGATGGATAATTGAGGCTAAAGGATGCCGGGAACGAACTCTGTTGAAAGCTGATTTGGTTTCTGGGCGTGGTGGCACATGCCTATAATCCTATCACTTGGGAGGCTGAGGCAGAATTTGAGACCAGTTTGGGTTGTAAAACTGAGGTCAAGGCCAGCCTGAACTGCAGAGCAAGACTTTGTCTGAAAAAGACACACACACACACACACACACAGCAAAAAATAAACAAAAACAAGCTCTAATTTGCTGCCAGTACTATAAACCACTATGGGTCTATTCTGTCTGGCTACACACTACTGTTCACAGTGCAAATCTACGGTTTATTTTAAAAGAGTTACTTAAAATGCCACACACTTAAGGCATTTTCAAGATGGCTTCATAGATAATATAATCAGCAGAAATATCAGAAATAAAAGTGCAAATGGCATTAGAGAAACTCAAAGTGGTAGAAACCTCTCTCCCCTATGTATACTTACAGAAGACAACTCATTATTTTCTGAACATAGTGGCAGGAGGAAAAGAGTACTTGTGGTCTCCTCCCATCACCCTATGATCATGAAATGTGTAAACATTTTATCCTAGGGCAACAGTGTGGCTACACTGCCTAGACAGCTAAGGTGCTCAGTGACCCATGCTGTGCTGGTCAGTGGGGTTACTGCAACTAAAAACCAGAAAGAGGGCTAACTTCTGTTTAATTCTGAACTCAGGTGTACTGTATTTATACACATGCCCACGATTTGTTTCCTTTATTCAGTAGCAGAATATTTGCTCTTCTTCTTCCTCCTATGAGGTGAACATGCTTGCGGAGGTCAAGGTCCTCCTGCACTCTGTATTTCTGACAAATGCAGAATTAGAGGAGACTTCTGATTCCTCTGCTCACACTACACTTCCACTCGTTCCTGCAAATATCCACTATGTGACAGGTGAACCCCAAGATGTTTATTTTTTTATTTTTTATTTTTAAGGTCTTTATTTTGAATAGCAAAGAAATCAATTCACCTAGCACTCAAGTATAAACTTGTCAAAATTAGTGAAAGGGATTTTTATTTCCCCTTTATCTAGAGAACCTGGTCTTTGGTCCACTGGACAAAACTAACAAAAGTGGTGTCGGTATAAACAAGGAAATGGCCTAGATTTCCCTGAGTGACTCTAAAAATTAAATCAGAGCACTAGATAGCTCTTTGTAGTCTTAGTTCCACTGCTGAATCAAATTCATCTTTCATCTTTTTCGTAAAAACTACATGAATAAATACGGTGATGTTGAGGTGCGAAAATGATTAAAACTGACCTAAGTCCTTCTTTGAAGTACAAATCATTTGAACTATTTTTCTGACATAGATTAGAGATTATCTTGTCAGACTTATGACCACAAAGACAGAACAGTGGTGGCTGTCCAGCTTTACTACAACACGTCATCTTGGGTGCTTCATGCAGGAATGAGCCCCAAGCTTTATCTCCAGTGACTGTAACTCAACTAATCTTTATTTTCTTAAACACTCAGAGAAATTATTTCACATAAAACAGAGTAGGTAACTTGGGTCCCTTGGGTGTTTTGGTTTTCACGTACTTGAAGTGAATCAGTTTTCAGTTTTCCTTTGTGTTCCTCAGACGAGCGTAACACTTCTCGGTACAGTTCTGCTGCCAGAGCATACTCGCCTAAAGAAATGCAATGTATTAAAAGCAGAAGAAACTAATATATTTAACTCCAGTGCAACCATTATCTATAATCTAAAATCATCTATTATAAAAAAGTATGCTAATGATTATAGCTCACTTTTGGGGTCTGGTGCTAGACATCAAACCCAGGACACTGTGGATATTACATAATCATTCTACTACTGAGCTATACTTTCAATTCCTATTTTTTCAAGTAAACCAATTTGACCTGGTATTAACATGATTATTACAGTATAAGAAACAAAACCTAATCACAGTTTCTTTTTGTAATTGCACAGAATTTACAATGTCCTGAAATTGCAGAATATACAGTATTATAATTAAATACATTTCCAATGTTTTAAAAATTATACCCAAAACAACCTGAATTAACTTTTAATTTAGACAGTATTCGTCTTGCAAGTTAAAGGATGTCCATTTTAAGCCACTCTCATTTAAAATTAGGGATAAATTTGGCATAATTATAACATTTAGAAATACTTATTCATGATAGTATGTCCAACATATATGTAATTCTTAGAAAAACCATAGTTATTCATTGTAGATACTGTTGCTGTAAGCACTGGGACACAATAATTTGCCAATAAAAACTACATTTAAAAACTTAAAATCTTTTTATTTCTGGTCACACAAATAATAATTGTCTAAAATGTATGCTGTTTTCTTTTCTTTAATTAGCAGCTCAATCACATAAAGCAATTCAAAAAGTATCTATTAAAGCATAGGTTGGCAAACTATGGTTCATGGATCTTATCTATTTTTTTAAAAAATACATTTTGTACAGGTTCTCACTACACAACTCAAGACTGATAATGATCCTTCAGTTTTTAGCCTCCCCACCACAGGGATTACTACATGCGTCACCACGCCCAGACTCCATCATTGGCTCAGTGTGCCTGGGTCTGGGGTAGGGGCAGAGCCCGTGCAGTGTGTGGTAAGGGGGATCGAACCCCGTCCCTATGCTTGCCTAAGCAGGTACTTATTCTGCTGAGCTATCTCCCTAGCCCTGTGGATCATATCTGACTCTGAAATTTTATAGATCCCATCGGATGAGGATGGCTTTTGCATTTTTACTTTATTTTTAATTTTAAGCAGTGTTGGGATCAAACTCCAGAGTTTACGCATGCTAAGCAAGGGCTCTACCATTCAATAATAACTGAGCTTTTGCATTTTTTAAGCAGTTTTAAAAATTTTTATATGGTAATATTTTATGACATTGGAAAATTAATTGAGATTAGGATCCAGGAATAACATTATACTGAAACCTAGTTACACTCATTCATGTACCATCCATGGTTGGCTTTACATTGCAAAGGTCAAACTAATTAGAAGCACAGTGATCCTATTAAAGCCTAGAATGTTTTCAGTCTGGCTGTTTATAAAAAAAAAAATTAATCACACCTAAAAGAAAAAGGGAGATGACACGTGAATGATACAATCTACTTTATTTGTTGCTTGTAGGAAAATTCAAAACTGAATTACAAATACAATGAAAATCTAATGTGATGATTTGGGGAGGGATTTTTTTTTATTAACAAAGGTATCAATTGGATATTTTTTGACAGATAATTTTTTCTGCAGATTATCACATATACTTTCTCTTTTAAAACTAGTTTTATAAATATCATATATATTGACTGTGTTCATAGCTATAATAAGCTTTCTATATATACACTGTTTGTAAATATTTTAGCAGTTGGTTCTTTCCCTCTCTGAAAGCTGATAAATCTTTCATTTCACCCAAGTGTGAAGTGTACAGTTCAGCATGACATACATTCACACTATTCTATAAAACACTTGTTTTCACATTTCTGCTTTATATCTAGTGCAGCTGAATTTGAACTACTCAAGATAATCTTGTTTATGGAAAAAAGGACATGCTTTCTGAGGGAAAGTACACATATACATAAAATATATAAATATTCAGTAAGTTACATAAATTTAAGCCAAGTTTGGAAACATCCATTTTTAGCCACTTGATGGCACTAAAACTTGTAAGTAAACAAAATGTACAGGATTTTACATTGGAAAACTGTAATTTTCTGAAAGATACCTGTAGAGAGCATATTGTTCAAAACTGGAACAACAGCATGTGTTTTATAGTCAAGGACTACAAATAGTCATTACATAGCACATGTATCTTTACATATAATACAAACAAATCTTTTCTATAATTTGAAGTTAAATTTAGAATTCTTTTAAAAAGAAATGTATCTTTGAAAGTTTTAAAAAAGTTTTGCATAACTGATTTTTATTTTTTAAAATTTGTATTTATTTTTTATTTATTTTTATGCATTTGGTACAGGGTCTCACTATGCACCTAAGACTCCTAGTGATCTTCCTGTTTCAGCCTCCCCAGTGCTGGGATTACAGGTGTGTGCCACCATGCCCGGATGTTGTGGGCAGCTCAGTGTGCCTGGGGGACAGGGCCGGAAGGGCATGTGGAGCTGGGGATCGAACTCTGTCCCTGCACTTGTGTAAGCAGGTGCTTTGTCCACTAAGCTATCTTGCCTGCCCAATTGGTCTTCATAGACTCGAACCTATTTTAAATTAGTCAGGAGTATGTGAAGAAATTTTTACTACGCAGTTCAGGCTGGTTTTGTACTCTCTCTGTAGCCTGGGGTGGCCTTGAGCTCATGGCTATTCTCCTGCCTCTGCCTCCCAAATGCTGGGATTACACTCATGTGCCATCACACCTGGCAGGAAAAGGCTGACTGAGTATAATGGAACTTTACTCAGGAGAACGGCAGCTAGCAAAGCCATCACCTTCTACCTTTAATGATGTGGATGCCTGCTAAGCCGTTGAGGGCACAGACGAGCTGCCGATGTGCTTCTTCACATTCAGTCCCGCATTTCTTCTGCAGAGATGTCAGCAGCTCCTCCATCGTCATGGTGCTGAAAGAAAACGTGGACTGCTTAAAGAAGAAAAAGAACCCTATTGGTAAATTCCCAGGTGGGAGTGCGAGACAAGATGAAGTCTGTGTGACACCCTTTGTGTTCTTTGCTTTGGCTCCATTTATTTTTTATCAGTATTACTTTTTACTTATTACCATTTTTGCATACATTCTTCTATCTAATCCCATCATTCTTCAATTTCAGTTTTTTGTTATTACTTCAGTTAAGGGAGAGAGGAACTAGAAAAATCTCCATCAAATACAACACATAAAATCAGGCTGGGCATAGTAGCATATTCTTGTAATCCTAACTCTGGGGAGGCTGACGCAGGAGGTTTGCACGACTTCAAGGCCAGCCTGGGCTACAAAGTAAGTTCAAGGCCTGCCTGGGCTACATAGCAAGGCCCTATCTCAAAAATCCAAAACCAGAATTTTATGTTTAAAAGAGTACAGGTTTAAAAAGTAAAACCTGGTCTGAATCTCACCTCTGGAACTTAATCTGCTCAGAACAAAGAAAAAAGATCTTTCAAAGACCAGGTCTAATATCATTTCTATCATAAAGCTATCTAAACTTAGCCATTAAAATAAAAATGACTTTCACAGCAATTTTTATGTGTGCGTTTGAAATGTATCATGTTTGCATTGTATTATATAAATGTCATCTTTGCTCTTTCCCCAACTTGTCTGTAATTTACTTAAAGTCAAGGACAAAACCTAGTTTTCTTTATCTCTTACAGGACCTGAAGGGTTTCTTCTTGTTGCCAGGTGCTAAAAGTAGGCCAGTTTCTAAGACAACAAATTTCTGGGACAAGAGAACATTGCAGACACAATTTCTCTCACGTTTTTGAATGGAAAAATCACATACAGCTAGCACAATTATAAAGAAAATATTTGACTATAATCAAATTCCTCAATGTGGGAACCAAGAAATACAGAAAGAACAAACACTTTATATCTGGAGTTTAGACAAAAACAAATGCAACAAAAATCTCCAACAAATCCTAACTGAAATTAAAAATATTCAAACCATAAAAATAATTTTGATGTGATTCTCTTTCATAAATGTGGTTGCGTATAAAGAAATACTATGACAGTACTAAAACTGGCTGAATCAAATTGAGAACCCACAGCAGATTAAAGTGCCTGCTGGGCTGGGGGTTCGATCCCCCTGTTGTGCCGGCCCTGCCACCAGGACAGTAATTGAGACTGGGCATGGTGGTGTATGCTTGCAATCCCAGCTCTTGGGAGCTGTGAATAGGCATATCGCTATGAGTCTGATCTAGTAATGAGACCCTGAACACCCTGTAGACCCTTCCCTAAATTACAAAAAAAAAAAAAAAAAAAAAAAAAGGGAGCCCAAAAGGTAACTGACTCAAACATTATGTGCTATTATGGAACTATTATCCACAGCTGACTGCACCATAGGAGAAAGAAGTAGATTGTAAGACCTTTTCTGCAGAGGCAAGAACTCCCCACGCACAGCTTGCGGGTGGCAGCAGGCCTGCCTGAGCCTGAGCAATGGGTACAGGATGGAGGTCACTGTCCTGCGGTCCAGGCTGCTGAGCTTCAGGGCCCAGTCAGAAATCTTCCTGAGTTTGACCACAGCATCCTGGCAGCACACCTCATGCTGCCGGTGATAGAAATGCCTTTCCACTGGAGAAAAGTGCAGCCAGTGCGTCTCTTCAGTCTGCGGGGGTATCTGAATCTGTAATGAGTTAACAAAGGTTTCACCCCAATATTTTTTTCCCCTCTTGTAATATCCTTAATTGATGAAAACTTATCACTGACTTGGTCGATCACGTCTTTCTTTGCAGACCTCCACAGTATCTTGGCAATAAAGCTGTACAGATGTTGAGGATTCTTCTTGCAGTAAGGACGATAAAGGAGCCGGACCCACCAGTGTTTGACAGAGTAAGGTTCGATACCAAGGAAGACCACTAACCCAAAAAGATCTGAAAATAAGAATAACCAAAAACACACTAAAAATAACTGTCTCAGTATTTCTTTACTACTATTTTAAATGAACTCTTTCAGACATTACAAAGCACTTCTCATAAATTCTCAGTACTTCTCATAAGTTAAAATGTAGTTTTAGAGTCTCTTGAATTTGAAATTTAATTTTAACTGAATTTACATTTAGAGGCCGATCTAGGTCTTGTTCCAGGTATGGAAATATCACAAAGCCTACAGAATTATCACAAAGTCTTTACTTAGTCCAAAAGTCTGAGATTACCTTCAGAGACAAAAAGAACTACTTGGTTAGGTTCCACAAGATATATGTAGAAATGACATGCATCAACACATGATCTAAGAGATCAGGAAAAAAAATCCTAATTACGTGATAGGAAGAATATTCTCTGACTCAATATTCTACAACATCTGATCAAGTAATTCTACTCTAATGAACAAGACTAAAAGAATAACAAAAAATAGACAAGACTCACTTGCAGGATATAGAGTAAGAGAGTAAAAATGATTCAAATGAATGTTAGGATACATTCATAAAATAAAACTAGTTTTCTGATTAAGCAAATCTTCCATTTATTAGTTTTATAGCATGTGTACTTTTAAAATATCTCTTATTTAAGCATACTTAATTTCATATTCTATCTCCCTGAAATATCCTAGGCATTTTCCATAAATTTTTTTTGATGAATTTTTTAACATATGGAAACTTAGGGTACAATGCTACATGAATCCTCACATAAAACTATGCATGTGAACTCAAATATAAAAATTGAATTCATAGATTAGGGTTTTGTCTTGAAATGAAGATGTACAGGTATGGCTACACTTTTTTTTCTATATTACTAAAGTTTTATAATATACAGTATTCTTTTCAAAAGGCATAACAATCATTTCAAAAGGTACTATTACCCTACCTATAACATCTACTTGAGGATAAGCAACAAATTTAGGCTGAATCAAATCATTCTGCTGGCTTCTGGGAGTTAATAACTTTTGAAAGAGCTGACAGAACACTGCCTATTTTCGTGATTTATATTTTAGCTCAATTTGTCTATATGCTACCTGTTCTTTGAGGTTCTAAAAGTGTTAATATTTCTGTCACAATCAAATTCATAATCTTTTTGGCCAAATATGCTTTTCTTCTAGTGTTATTCACTGATGAATACTGTTTCTACCAATACTTGTAAGCAAATCAGAAATCTTGGCATCTCCTGATCTACCAAGAAGCCTTGGTAATTTTCCTTCTCCATAGTTTTCTATTCCAGTGATTGTGAGCCTTTCAGAGCCCTAGTGCCTACCCAAAACCTACCTACTTATTTTAAAGTGCCAGCATTGAGGTTTTAGAGAAAACAACCCATACATTAACATCTTTTGTATTAAAAATACAACAGCAGAGCTTTTAACAATATAAACAACTTTTTAGTGAAAGATAGGCATTTGCATTTGACATGCTTTTGCATAATTCTGATCTTTGCTTTCACATGCATGCTGACTCTGTCAGAGCTTGGCTGGGGCGACTTGGCTTCTGCTAACAGAGGGCTCTTTGGTGCAGCACACATAGACTCCCCATCATTGCTCTAGGATACAGCAGTCTGAACCCAAAGAACAGTATCACTTCCCAAGAGTACTTCTCTCAGCCAATCACTGTCATGCTCATGTCATGCTGCTCCTCTTCCTGCCATTCTTCACCCTGTACCTACAATGCTTTTTTTTTTTTTTTACATTTTTATTTTATTGTATTGAGAAACAAATATAAGTGAGACAGTTTCAAAACTGATTAATAGGACAGTCTGAATAATTAATCCATTGTACATTGTTATCTTTTTAGTAGTTATCCATAGTACAACATAGTACAAGATGCAGACAGGATATCCTGTCCAAACACTATTACTACAAATCTTTCTTCTCATTGAATTAAGCAAAAGTAGCTGTATATCCTAACTAATCTGTATGTACAAATACAATATGGTCCTTCCTTTGTATCCCCTTTTTTTGTTTAGTCCTGTCAGAAATGGGTATTCCACTGGCATCTAAATACTATAGGTGTGTGAATTCAGCAAAACAATACAACAGTCCAGCAGTCCACAATAGTAGTGGGTTAGCCGCAGAAGTTGTTGACTTTTACAGCTCAGCGTATTAATATGGCTTTACTTTATATACCTCGTTTTTATAATTTCTGCTGGATGGTTAAGACCAAGATAAAGCAAGACCTGTATAACAAGAAGTGTAACTTTTGTATCTGATAAGGTCAGTCAAGTACCCTCAGGATTTATCCCTAACCACACAATGACCCCACAGCACTGTCAAATCCTTTCAGCAGCTACTTTGCTTAAAATGCATGTTTTTCCCCCAGCTTTGTGTATTCTAAGGATCTCAATTCAGCTGTCACTTCCTTCTGCCTTCCTATCATGTGATGCCTGCTTTAGGAAATCTGATTTACTTAGAATTCCCTATTTTCCTCCTTTGTGGCAGTCATCTAGATTCTGCTTTATATTTCTCATAAGCATTATATATATATTTTCCCACTTAAACTGTAAGCTCAGTAAATTCAGAGGCCTTGTCTACTTTTGCTCACTGTGATATTTCACAAAGAGTAAATAAAAGAATAAACACCAGAGAAATTACTTAAAGTCAATACTTTCAAAGAAACTAAAATAAATTAATGTATAAGCAGAAAATAAAAACCAAAAAAAAGTGAAAGCAGTTATCATTCATTACATACTTAACACCTGCTGGGTACTGTGCCATATATACACATACACATTTGTAAATGTCTGCCTTGAAAAATAAAGATTTGAAAATCAAATATTTGAATATTTAAGCAATTTGTTTATAAATTTAGAACTAGTAAGTCAAGATGTAAACCCAGGTTCATATATTCCAAAAACTTTGCACATACCAACATATTAGACAGATAGGGTGGGCAGCAGGAATTAGTATCTTTCTAATCTAGAGTATTTCAGGCTGGCATGAGACACCCAGTAAGGGTCTGGCAAATTATGGAATGAAAACACTACTTTCATTCTTTGCTCAAGCCATGGCCAGCCTGAAATTAACAAGATCTCTGGGTTGTTACTAATTAATACATCAAATACAGTTTATCTCTATCAGGCTAGCATAATGTTTCTTAAATGGGGTGGAAATGGGAGGGTGGAATTTTGCTGTTCAGGGGACACCTGGCAGTGTCTGGAGACATCTGTGGGTGTCAGAATTACACTAGTGTAGCCAGCAGCTAGTATCAGTATCTTAACACGGTAATTCTCAGGAGAGTACCCATCCAAAACGAATGACCCAGCCCCCAAAAAGAATTATCAGGCACAAAATGCCAAGATCAAGAGACCAGTTGAAGAAAAAAGAAAATAAATGAAACTTAAATTTCTAAATGCAGCATAGTAAGTCATGGGCAAACTAATGTTTCCACACTAGGAAAATACCAGATTCAGTGGGGAGAACATACAAAGATGCCAGAGTCATGGAAGCAAAGAGAAAAGACAAGTCAAATTCCAGAAAGCTTGGCAAAGCTGCCTGTAAAGTGACTCAGCGCATGAGGAAACTCTTGGGCGCAATTACCTTTTCAAGTTTCACATTTTAAATACTTAACATTTTATAAAGTCATTTGGACCTCAAAAAGCTCAAACAACTCAGAAGTTATTTCTTTTAAACTACTCAAAGATAGGGGCTTGCGGGTTAGCTCAGTTGTTTAAGTGTCTGCTCTGGCAAACCCAGTCAGGTGCAGGGGACCGTGGTTCAATCCCCAGCCCTGCCCTTAAGGCAGCCTGAGCCAGTCAAAAAGATCCTAAATTACTCAAGGATTTATTGAATGGTAACAAGGACTCAACGTACACGCCAACATCCTATCATTACCAAAATAACCTATTTGGCTCATATTCTTTCAACATTACAATGAGAAAATAATTAATGGATAGTAATGTTCTTTTTTTTTTTTTCTTTTTTACTGTAGCCTTTCAGCAAACTTTTCAGGTGAATGAGCTATTACACCTAATATCTATTTTTTTCTTTTTTGGCTTTTTAATTTTTTAAGACAGGGTCTTGCTATGTAGTTTGAGAGCCCAGGCTACTCTCAAACTCACAAGGATCCTCTTGCCTCAGCCTCCTGAGTGCTGGGCTTATAGGCAGGAGCTACGTGTCTGGCTGCATTTTTCTACAGTTAACAAATGTGAAAGGACACCACTGAATCAGGTCTTTTAATGAGTTTGATATTCTCTAAATAACTATCTTCCTGTAACATCCAAATTGTGGAATTAAAAAAAGAGCCAAACACACATCTTCACAGACTGTCTAAGCCTATGTGGCTGCCAAGAGTACCAATAAGAGAAACTCAGTATAGGGTTTATGGGAACTTAATTCTTGCATAAGTGATGTGTCTATCGTGATACATACTTTCCTTAGGAAATGTTTTTCCTCTAACAATAACTGCTCAGGTCATACGACTAGAGGTTCATATGTTATTTTGGCACATAGTATGTTATCCTGCTCCATTTGAAGTTAATATAAAACTTCAGTTTTCATAAAAGTAAATTTTGAAACTGAAAATATATCTAAAATTTGTAATTACATGTTAATGATAACTTTCCAGGAAATTTGCATAAAACATTTATTTACAATAATAAATATTTATATTTTGAATAAAGATTTTCAAAATGCACTCTCTTTGCTATCAAAATTTATGTGTGGAGTGAAATAGGCTAGACAATCATTCAAGAAAAGGGATGGTTGAGGGAACACTGCCACGGTGTGAGGCGACAGTGTGACCTGACATGTATGGTGTGACAGTATAAAGCTATTAATATTTTCTAACTTTCAGAGTTGGAAAAATGATGATCCTTCTATAAATTCAGACAATGGAACAAAAATATGGTCTCTCTTAACAGACACAGTCAACTGAAATTTCTCTCTCCTCCCTTCTTTCCTCTCTCTCTTTCTCCTCTCAGCTTCTGCTTCCCACCTGTCAGGGGGGAAATCTAAGATGACTTCAGACCCCTGTGTGCACACTGTTTGGTGAGTCAAATGACTACTCACCCCAGGCAGTGGGGACAATTGCTACACATCTGTTTTCACATGGAGAAACAGAAAAAGCACTCAAGTTCCATTGAAAAAGATAAATGCTTGAAATCACTACAAGGAAATGTATGTTCACTTAAGTAAGGCTCTAAAAAACTGAAGGATAACAGTATTCTTTCCTCATACACAGCAAGCTGATCAGTCAGTGCAGTATGTGTGGAAGCGTACATTACCCTCCAGGCCTCTCTGCACTGGAGTGCCGCTGATGCACCACCGATTAATTCCACTCAAACGCAGGGCCATTTCTGCAGCCTTGAGAGAGAGAAATACGAAGCAGAAACAAAAGGAAAACAAGTCAGAGGAAGAATGTGGACTCCAGGTCTACATTTACTCAAAGCCAGACCATGAAAAGCTATACTTCAGGTGAGACGCACTTGCTCTTATCTAACAGCTACTGCACTCAGTGTGGAATGTACCAGTCAGGGGCCAGCTCCTGACAGGGCGAGCGGTCATGAGTAGGACACTGGCATGTTCCACCCTGAAAAGGATGGGTAGTTTGAGCATGGAAAGAGGGGATAATCCCATTAAGTACTGCTAAGTCTCCATGCTCTAGACATAAACCTCTGCAGCAACAGACATGATGCATACATTCAACTCAAGACTGTTTCAAGACCAGAGAAAGATGTATGACAAAAGCTGACATCAAATTCTGTTCTCCAAAGCAGCGTCTTTGGTAACCATCTGATCTCCCTCTGACTAACCTACAAGTGTCAATTCTGGCTTAAAGTTATTGGCGCTCACATGAGCTTCTAGGTAGCATAAATGATTGAAAAATCCCTAAATACAGTTTACTCTGACTTGTATCATACATAAAATGGTATCCAAAAATTTATGAGCAGTGCACACAGAGCAAGAGGCACAGGGCTTGAAAGTGACTCCAAAGGGTTGCACAGTTCACTGCACAAGAGAAAATGAAATATGCAGCATTTAACAGCAAACTTTTGACTAATATCAATACTGTGGGTTACCTAGTAAACTAATCAGTTTTGCTAGCCCCTTCTCTCTTCCCCAGCCCTCAAAGGATTTTTCAGACTCTCACTTTCACTGCAGGACATTCAACCATCTGAGCTTCATCAAGGCAGATTCTCCACCACTCCACAGCGACCAGAGGGCTGGGGATGGCCATGTACCGCTTCTGGTTCCGTAGGCGGCGCCCATCCTCACTATTGCTATGTGGAATATCGACATAGTTTAGCTCTGAACGAAGGACGTCATAGGTGATGATGACTATGTCCTGCTCTGCCAAAAAGTGAGGCTGTAAAAAGCCATCTTTCTTTACTCCTTGATATACCTAGGAAATAATCAGACCAGTGCAGCTATCATAAAAGAGTTCATTAAAGACAAATGAAGTATTCACTTATATAAGCTTTACTGAATCCCTTCCATGTACTTAGGACCATACAAGCCACAAGGCAGATCTCATATTATCTAGAGAAAGGTTTGTTTGGGTGCAGAAGACAAATAACATGAAATATATGAAATGAACTATAACAAAAAATAAATGTAATGGCAGAATAGTGGGAAGACCAATCCTGTGGCTGAAAAGTGAATTCAAAGGAGCTAAAATGCCAGGTATACCTTGAAGAACATTCAGGAGTTCTTACAGGTGGCAAAAGGAAGAGGAGGGTAAGTATACTGAGGCCATTAGCTGTGTTAGTGCACAATGGTATCAACAACTAGAACAGTAAAGAACTATTATTCATGAAATTCCTTTTGTGGTTCAGCAATGATGTTGAGCATTATCTTTAACTTTCAACAATGCTGCTAGTTGTTGCTTTTATTTCTATTTCACACATACAGGAATATCACCTGACCTGCTCTAAACTACAGAGGCAGAGACTCAACGCCTGCCTACACAGACAAAACACAGCTACTCAATGGCAAAAATGATACTTTACTTATTATTGCATTTGCCATGCTGTGACAGTGGCTGAAATTTTAAAAAACCCTAAAATAGTATTTGCATGGAAAAAGATGGAATAACAAATAATAATCTGAAAGGTCCACCACTGTGTGCCAGAATTATATCAAATTACTTCACTTCATAACAATTCTATAAGATAGTATTTTCATTCAGAATTTAACATAGTTCTTGGCATATAATAGGTCCCGGGTAAATGGGCTGAATGAGTAAGATGTTATTTTTACCACTGTGGTTACTGAGACTTCAAAAGACAACTTTGGGATATATTTTTCTCCGAAACGATAAAAGTTTATATTAATTTATACATTTAATTGGTTGGAATTTTTTAAAAGGGTTTTCACCTCTTCCCATTTGAGTGCTCTAACTTCTAAAATTTGGAAGCTCGGGATAAATACCGTCCACTGCTCTATTTCTTGTAATTTCCTCTTCCAGCTGTGATTTAATATTATCATCATATCAAGTTAACTTCAGCAATTACACGGCAAAGCAACCAAGATTATAAAAACTGTGGTGAAGAAGCACAACTATGCATCCTGCTATCCCCCTGGGCCCAAGAGGCCTCACCAAGACCCGGAGAGACGATGACTTCACGTGCCGGTTGATCTCATCTACCCACTGGTGACAGATGGAGCTCGGAGAGATGATCAGAGTTGCTCTGGTCGACACAGGCTCCATTGCAACAAGGCAGTGGGGGCAGTAAAAAGGCTTAATTTTCAGGTTCTCCTCTTCATAGTTCACACACTTTGCATGTTGCCACAGGTGGCAGTTCAGGCATTGAACACGAGGCTTGCGGTCTATTTGGTCAAATTCACCACATATGCATTCAAAGCGATAATCAGCATTGTCATAGGGACTCATGACATTAGAATGGGGGCTCTCATTCCCAGCATGGCTTAGAGATTCACCATGGTCCTCAGCTTCTTGCTCGTGCTTGACTTCAGGGACACATGTACTTTCAGACATGGTAACATCAGCAATCGCACAGTCACTTGTGGCTGCACAGTGACCTAGTATGTCAGCATTGAGGTCAGGCTGACTTTTTCCTTTTCTCGTGGGTGGCATAGGCTTCCTCCTCCATTTAGTACGATTTTTCTTGGCTTTGTAATAATAATAGTAAGGGTCATCATCATCATCAGAGGTATTTGATGGCAAATATTCAGAGTCTGGGTCCTTCTTTCCTGCTTTTCTAGGGTCTTTCTGAAATTTCCTTGGACTTCCTACTGCCTGTGAAAAAACCCAATTATTTAATTAACTTATTTTAACACATTTATATTTCTGAACTAAATAAACAACACTCCGGTGTGGAACAAAGTTTTTAACTGCTGATAGCAGCAATGACAAGAGTAGGGGTATTTTAAACTTTATAATATGCTTAAAGAGGTAATTTCATAATGCACATAATTTTTGTTATGTGCCAAACACCACTGTCCTGGATCAAGTATAACCAAAATAGATTAGTCTTCTGAAGTTAATAGGCAGAAAATGGAAGTCACAGGCATAGGAGATTCTTCTAACTACAGACATTCCTCATGTCATGTCCTATGTAGCTCACAGCTATTTGGATTTATGACTGAGCTGCAGTGTTCAGACTTGCGACCTGCTACTCGGAGTTATGACCCACACTGCCATGTACGACACAGGAATGGAACGGCAGTGCAGCCTCATGGGTGCTTGTTCTATGATATAGAACTGTAATTTTTGCTGATTATGTGGTATAGTATAGTAGTATGGTTTTATTATATATTACAGGACTGCATATGAAAACCAAGTCATCAAAGTGGAGTTTCCCGTGATCAATTTATTCAATAACCTAGTTGCAGGAACAAAACTTGGTCATTAAACAAGGAATATCTATAGTTTGTTTTTTAATCTTCAGACTGTAAGACTTTAGGTGTCACGGTAGAATCTGTCAACTTATTCTGTAAGGCATCACATACAGACCTAAGTACTTAATAGATGCTCCAGTACCTGCTTTTTTATTTTGCTGCATATATCTTCCTCTTTGTAATTCTTCCCCAATGTAAAGGTCCCCGAGAAACCATGACCTTTGGTCTGTCTCACAAGACCTTCAAAAATTAAACATTTCAGCATGCGTTTGAGAAGACTCTTGTTGCGCTGAACGTCGTATCTGTACATAGAGCTGACATACTTATAGATGGAAAGGATGGAGACTCCTTTCTTCCCATTCATCTCCTTCACAGCTGTCAGGATCATCACACGTGTAGCTAAATACAAAAGGATACCCTAACTCAGTCAAAATAATGAAAATGAAATGAAAACAAAACAGTTAATCCACACTGGATGGAATTAAGAGAACATAAAATTTACTGTGAGACAGTACCATTTTGAGGAACAGAGAATAAAAATTTATCTCAATATATTAAACGGATTACTATAATAGAAATAATCTCAGGAAGAATTATTCAAGTTAATGTTAGTTTGCCAAAAAGATAATCATTCAAACTTACTTTAGAAAGTTCCTCTAGCTATTCTATCTTCTGGATGCTATCATTACTAGAGGAAACATTCATTTGCTACTAGACTTTTAAGTAGCTGTACTTGAGAATAAACAAAACCAAGTTAAAACTGTAAGCTAAAGAAACTTAAATATAACATACTGAAGCAGAACTACTTGGACCAAGTCAAAGAATACTTTTTTGCTTTTGTTAGGATATTAAGGAACTGGAACAAAGATCAAAATAAGAAGCATTTTTTGAGAGATACTTACGGGGGCACTGAACTTTTTCTTTTGGTTCAAATTCCATATTCGGTGCTTCTGTGTCTTTTACTGATCCTCCAAAACGGTGGGATGGGATGAAATAATTCACCTCTTTTCCCTGGTACATGAACAACTTTCAGTCACATACTTGCTTTCAGTATTCTGAATTATTTATTAAAACTTTTTCATTAAGGAAATAAAATAGATGTAAACAATTTTAAAAGAAAGGGCTAACTATACTATTCACATACACAAACCTATTTTTTATTTCCAACTTTACAAGTAGTCATTGCTTTTCAAATTGTTCATGCTGTCTTACATTACCTAAAATTATTCATGTTATATTACCTAAAAATTAAGTGGGACTACCTGAAATAAAATATTTAAGTCATGCTTAACAGTAGAATTAGTCCACTGAATTTATAATAATACTGAAGATAATAATTTGGAATTAAAATATATAATGAGTAGAGGAGGAATGGTAGTATTAATTGATAATTAAAACTACAAACTGTGACTCACTTTTCTGCAAAAGAAGTATTTTTTTTTTTAATCCTATTATGGTTTAGCTCTAACATGCCCACCAAATGTACCCTGTTCCGAGTTGGGCATCTGGAAGGTGGTTGGATCGGGGGCGGGTGGGGTGGCAATATTTATTCATCCACTGATCATTCACAGCTAGCTACATGTCCTGGTAGAAGGTGGGGCCGGTCAGAAGGAGGGGTCACTGGGATGGGAGCTGGAAGGGTGTACTCTTCCTGACTCTTCCCTTCTCTCTTTCTATGCAGCCAAGAACTAAGTCACTTTGCTTCTTCACACCTTTCCATCATGTTCGGGCCTTGGATGGAGTACTCCCAAATCATAAGCCAAATTAAATCTCCTTTAAGTTATGGGTGTTCAGTTTTGTGTCATGGCAAAGAGCAATCTGACCAAAACATCTACTCAAGTTTGAAAGACTAGTTTTACAAACTTGACCTATCCACAGGTCATAAAACAGACTATAAGCCTGAGCAATGCTAGAGGTGATTAATTACAGTCAAGCTCTTAACTACCAGTCTCATTTCAGCAGGATTTTAACATACTGATTTTGGGTTTCAATATAAACCCAAAAATACAAGCCATGGAAAATACAAGTCATGAATTAACTGTATTTGCCTCAGTATGGCAAGAGTTTGAAGTAAACTCTAAACTTTATATTTAAAAAAAATGGTATATTTTCGTAGAAGGACTTAAAAATCTGTCTCATCTAACAATCTATTTACAAAGCTATGTACCCTTTTTTTCCCCCATAATTTTATTGAGAAACAAGTAGCAATGGGACAGTTTCAAACTAAATTGGTAGGACAGTTTCAATAATTAACACATTGCATACATTCTTCCTAGTAAGCTATGTACCCTTTAACAGAGTTCTAATTTCTAGATTTGAATATTTACATATCTGACACTTGTATAATTTTTTCAAAGTCATTAAAAATATTTAGTAAAAGTGATGTCTTATAATGACAAAATATTTGAGGAGTCACTAGTACAGTACTTTCACAAAGGGGTTTCTCTGCCAACTAGTGGGAAGCCTGGTTAAGTGACTGCACATCCTCTCCCCAGTTGGCCAACATCACTTGAGAAAACCTCCTAGGTCCATCAACAGCCCAATCTCTCTGCCCACTGAAGTCAACTAATAGAAATCATTAGCCACAGTGAACAAAGTGTTGATTTCAGCACCAAGCAAATGTTCACCATCTGATGCCTTTTGAGGACATATGTTTCCTGGTTTTTCAAGTACTGCAGAACTCCTACCTCAGGAAGAGTAAGAGTATCTTGTTTGACGTCTTGCCGAGTATGTGTCAGAATCAGTGCCAAAACCTCCACTGTTTTTCCAAGACCCATCTCATCTGCTAAGATTCCACCAAGCAACTGTGGCCCGGAACACGGGTACTCACGGATGATGCTAATCGGAAAAACAAGCACAGTACACCACAGGAGTGTAAATAAAAAACACTCTTCTTAGTTAAAGATAACTGGAGAAATGTATAAAGTCTGTTTACTCAAAGTAAACCTTTGAGTGAAACAATTAGAGATCCCTATTCATAAATACAAGAATTCTAATTAAAATAAAAACTGAGCTGAACTGTCTGCAGAAATGAAAGTGGTGCTGATAAATATTAGTCAAATCCTTTTTCCTATAATTCAAAGGAAATATATTTGGGTTCTTCCTATGACATTTGTCAATCTATGAGTAAAGTATAAAGAGGAGTAACTATTATTCATTAATTAATAAATATATTATCAATGATTCCTAAAACTTCTTATAACATAAATTGACAAATTTAATGAAAAGTGTAAAAACCATCTCATAATGAACAAGGTAACATTTTTACTTTGTATAAAAAATTATTAAATCTTTGTAAGTACCTACTATGAAATATTTATTTGCTGGAAAAGTGACTAATTGTTAATTCTAAGTGCATTCTAGCTTTAAAAAAATGACTTCCACTTTGTATTTCTTTTTTGAAGTACTACGAAACTAAGGCAATATCTTAAAATCTCATACAGCTTGTTAATGTATTTATTTTTTAAATCAAGCAAATAAATAAAATTTTGCCTTACCAGCCTGTGTATGGATTATAATACAGTTTCAAACCCTCAGGTGTAATAATCTCTCGCCACAAGAAGTGCAGGGAACTTTCTAAGGAAAAATATAATCATAAGTTTTTGTTTGTCTCCCTTTCTTTCAGATGCGATTAAGTTAAAAATAAGTAAACACTTAGGATACCCTGAGATACTGATTCAGAAGACCCACAGTTTTGAGAAATCTTACATATGAAAAGCCATACATGTAACACATGGGTAAAAGGTTAAGGACTCCTCTGATTCTTTTTTTCTAATATTATTCTTTAGCTTCCTTTGCTTTGGGCACAACTCTATATAAGCAAGTTGTAAGATAAATTAAAAAAAAAAGGAAAGGGAGAGGAGGGGAGGAGAGGGGAGGGGAAGGAAGGGGAGGAGGAGGGTAGCAAGATCACAGATGGTTAACAGGAAAAGAAAATTATTATACACAGGCAACTCCTACTTGATAATGGAAACTAGCTTATCTTTTATAAGTCAAGAAGTTGCATAAAGTTTTAAAATAACTCCATAGATGTTGCTAACGGACTCACATATTTACCCAAAATGTATCTGCCCTATTTGGGTCAGAGAGTGGGAGGGAAGGATTACTTCACTGAGGAAGGCAAATCTGAAGCTGCACTAGTGAAGTACGCAGTCTGAGTCAACCAGAATCTTTCACTATCTTTCCCCTTCATATTTCAGGTATTTAAAACCAACTACTGCCCCAAATAGGGCACGTGTCTTTACTCAATCGTGAAATGCCATTTTTTTTTTTTTTTTTTTGTTGCTTTTATAAGGGATTAAAAAGCTAGGACACGGGGCTGGGAGATAGCTCAGTAGAATAAGTGCTTGCCTGGCAAGTGCAAGGGCCAGGGTTCAAACCCCAGTTCTACCAAAAAAACCAAAAACATTACAAAAAACAAATAAAAAGATACAACACAAATACATACTGATCACAGAATAAAAAAGAATTAAAAGATAAAAAATTTAAATTTATGGTAACCATAAGGGATAGAAGAAATGTAAAATGCCACATGGAAATTTAATCAATAAAATCTAGTGTGCTGTGCCAGCCCCACCCCTGTGGCGCACTGAGATGGCAACTGAGACTGGGCACGGTGGTGTGCGCCTGTAATCCCAGCGCTTGGAAGGCTGAAAACAGGAGAATCATTACGTCCAATCAGTGTAGAGAGACCCTATAGACCCTGCAGTAAATAAATTTTAAAAAATGTAATTTGGGGACAAAAAAAAAAAAGAATTACTGATACATACAGCATGGATACATCACTAAATCACTTTGTTTAAAAAAACAAATCTCTCTTGGAAAGTGTATATATTTTATGATGTCATTTACTGTGCCAAAAGCAGGAAACACAGGTGACAATGGCTGTTGGCTCCTGAAGGGCTTTGCAGGATGAGAAGTGACTGGGCTGAGAGATTTGTCAAGGGCTATGGAAATCTTTTACAGCAGTACTGTTTGACAGAAATATAATGGAGATACATATTTAATTTATAGTTAAATAGGGTAGTTTTATTTTTTATTTTTTGGGATTTTTTTGGGGATATTATTTGAAATCTGATGTATTTTCATACTCAAAGTACATTTGATTCTGGGCAATCTTGTTTCAACCTTCAGGAGTCATAGGTGGCTAATGGCACTCGGACAAAAGTCTAGCTCTCTAGCTTAATTTGGCTGTTGGTAACACAGATAGCTGCATTCAATCTGTGCTCTTAAGACGAGCACTTTTTACTGCAAGTTATATTTTTATTAAACATTTACCTGAAGGCAAATATTTTACTTTAGAGAAAAATATACGATCTGTGGGAAATTTCACAGAACCAATAATTTCTTTAACAAAGAATTGAAAGGAAAATAAAAAGACGGGAGACACAATGTATGGGTTATGAAACTTAATCAATAGCAACCAATTATAATGCCTGATGCTTTTTGGTTTCAGATTAGAACTCTGTGTGTGCATGTGTGTGTCCACATGTGCGTGTGAGGGAGACGTGGCAGAGTAGAGAGGGAGGGAGGGAGGAACAGGAAGGAAAGAGATTTATTGATACTAAAGCAGCTGGGCTTTGAAAATCTCTACATATGTACATATTTTCACATATTTGAAAACTTTGAAATAAACTGAAATATTAACGTATATAGTAGGATTTACTTCAAAATAGAATATGAGACTAGGATTGAGAATAACACTGGTTTTGAACTGACGTTTATTATCCAAACTGAAGAGCTTAAAAAATGAAATATTTTAGATAAAAACATATAAACTGGAATACTTGGGAGCAATAACAGCTATTTGTTATTATGCAAAATACATAAATAAAACAGGAATGAGAACTAGGTAACACTTTACTTCTAGAACTATGCATAAGTATCAACTGTGTCTACCCCTAAAGATGACAGGTGAACGACTGCCAGGCATGCTGGCACACCGAGACCCCAGCTCTGAGAGGGCGGAGGCGGAGGCTGAGGCAGGAGGCTAGCTGCTAGTCCGGACTCCAGGCTAAGTTCAAGGCCAGCCTAAACCACATAACAAGACCCTGTCTCAAAAAGACAAAAAAAACCCAAAAACCAAACCAAAACACCCTCCTCCACACACACACACACGCCACAGAACAACAAAATCAATTCCTAGTACCAAAAAGAAAAAAAAAAAAAGAATAAATGACCCTAGAAATCTATAACTTCCAAAAAATTAACAGATGACAATTTATTCATAACTTTGTTTTGTAGAGCAAAGAAAAATGCACATCTAGGAAGTCACTTCCTTTTATAAATTTGCTATTGCTAACTTAATCATGAAATTGTTTTTTGCCACTGACTACAGATTCCTATCTATCTGCGTTTGAAAACAATTCCTTGTTGGTAAATTATATAAACAAATACCATGATTTTCAAAAATTCAAGGCTGCATTTATTTTGGGAGGAAAAGCCAGCCCAAACTTTTATAATGAGAGGTCATAATTTTTCTAGACTTTAATTTGAAGGACTTCTTAGAAAGAAAATACTTTAATTTAGGGCTGATAACGTAAGGTCAGTGGCAAGGGCTGAGTGTGAGGCCCTGAGTGTGAGGCCTCACACTAGCATGTGTGAGGCCCTGGATTCAGTTTCTAATATTGCAAAAAAGAAAAAAAATACTTCTGGTCATGGCAATACCCTTCCTAGCCTATGTTTCTCATTGCTTTTTTAAATGATCACTTAGCCCTCCCTCTCTCTCACACTGCGTCTCTAACCAAGCATCGGTACTTGCCATCAGTGGGAGCACTGCGGAAGCGCTCTTGCTGTAGCATCCAGTTGACAGCCTCCCTCTGGTAGGGCCTCAGCACGGGGGTCAGGGCAGGATGCTGCACATCTACTTGCACAGAGCACGTTTCCTGCTGGTGCGCTTGCTTCACGAAGTGATAGAGCTCATCGACGTCCTGGCCCTCCGGCTCACTATCTGAATCTTCCTCATCATCTTCTAACACTTCTGTGTAACCATCAACAGTGCATTTATAACTTGCTCTGCCTTTTATAATCACAAACAATTCTTATTCTGTAAAGATACCTACCTTCCCCCCGCCCAAATCTGTGTCTTGCTCAATATGTCTAATGTATGAAAATCTTCACAGATTGAAAATCTATCCATCCATTTTTCAAGAAAGTTCAAATGATGGGCACAACCACCCTCTGGAAGATTCATACATATACCAAAAAATAAAAATGAAAGCTCTGGACAAACTTATGACCTTCTTTGTTTTTTAATTTTTTGGTACCTGGAATCAACCTCAGGACCTTGTGCTTGTCAGGCAGACGCTCTGCCACTCAGCTACATCCCGAGCACTACAAGCTCCTTCAGCTGACTTTTATGTCATTTTCTTTTACCCTCCATGGCTGCAACTAAGTTTGTCCTCCATGTTTATACATACTTTGCATACTCTAGATACAATACTACAATGAAATCTATCTGGTATTAGAGTCACCCATGTGACTCTCTTCCCCACTGATAGCAAATGCAATCTTCTGTTGTCACAGCCTCAGAGAAGATGACACATACCTGCCCACTTGTGGGTATTTAATAACTGTGTGAGGAAGTGAATGGGAATATGCTTTTGCACTTCATAAAGTGCTAACTTATATCTACAGCTGAATATAAAAAGTCCACACGCAGATATAATTTTTTATCTATTAAGGACAAGGGTTCTCATTATACTTCTCATTCTAAAATAAAGACAAGGTATAGGCAGTAAGAGAACTACTTAGGAATTGAGTACTTCGATTTTTTGATTGCTTTTTGAGACAGTGTCTTGTTATATGATGCCAGCTGGCCTGAATTCACTATGCAGTCCAGGCTGGCCTTGAATTCGTGGCAGTTGTCCTGTCTTGGCCTCCCCAGCACTGGGACTACAGGCATGTACCACCACGTCTACCTCCAAGTGCTTAAACTATCAATGTAAATATATAAGACTATCAGACCCACTTGGTGGGCACAACTGCCCCCTGGAACACTCAGGAAAAAATAAAAATTAAAATCCTAAATAAAGCAGCTGATTTTGTGTTAACAATATCATTCTTTCATGCTGAAGAAGTGTACTATATTTCTGAGTAGCTTCCAGAGAGGCCTACATAATTTTATAGGATATATTTAGTATGTTCTAGGAGCTCAAGCAACAAATACATAACATCCTTTTCTTCAATTAAAAAAATGCCATGTAGGATTTTCAAAACTTTATAATACTACTTTGTCATATTATTAATGTATAATTATTCATATCATTACAAGTTATATAATCTAGCATTAATATCTAAATTTAAGGTTTTCCTTAGAAATCTGTTTTTAATAATTCAAATAATGTAATTTTATTTTTATTTTTTTTTGGCGGAACCAGAGACTGAACTCAGGCCCTTGCGCTTGCCAGGGTAGCGCTTATTCCATTGAGCCATCTCCCTGGTCCAAATAATGTAATTTTAAAAGACAAAATGGAATTTTTTTTTTGTATTTTGGGGAAGGGTTTACAGGATGTTCAGGGTCTCACTACTACATGGGACTCATAGAGATCCTTCTGTTTACACTCTCCCAAGAGCTGGGATTACTGGTGTGCATTGCTGTCTCAGTGTGCCCTGGCATGGATGGCATGGACGGCCTGGGGATCGAAGCCCCCGCCCGAGCCTGCTTGCAGGTGCTTTAATCCACTGAGCTATTTGGCTGGCCTTTGACAAAAGGGAATTCTTACGACTTTTTTTGTGGTACTGGGGATTGAACTCAGGACCCTGTGCTTGCCAGGTTACCACTTATTCTACTGAGCTATCTCCCTGGCCCCTCTTACAATTTTTCAAAGCTCTAGACATACTTGAAATCAAAGATTTTTCTTTTTACCTTCAAAAATAATTCAGTATTGTTAAGAATATGACACTTTGAAATAAAGTGCTACAGAATAAACTCAATGGCTAAGCTTAAAAACTGATGTAACAAATACTGCAGTATAAAAATGACCAATAATATATACTAGAAATAATGCTAACCTACTCATACCCCAAGTATGGTTTGGAGAATCTGAACTGTCTGCCAAATAGCGCAGTTGTCAAGAGGCCATCTGTGCTCTCCCTTGGCCGCCAATGGCAGATACCTTGGAAACCGCAGTTCTGATCAAGTACAAGGCTATTTGGTTTTCTGGGAATGAGGCTGCTGAGATTGTTCATCAGACTGCAGAGGAGAGGGGGCACCAGGACCCACCAAGGATCTCTGGCTGTGACAAAATTTTGCATAGGAGTGACTCAAATGGCCCAGCCAGCTCAGCCCATTTCAGCTCTGCCTTTGGAAGAGCTTGCTGCCTGCACACGCTTCTTGAATGCGGACTGCATTCAAGTTAAGACAGTGCGAAGCAAACACAGTAAAGAGACCTTAATGCGGACAGTTCAGATTAGTCAAACCATACCATATATAGAGGATTTTATGTAGGCCACTTTATACAGTTCTTATTATGTTTTTTTGTTATGTGTAGGTATTAAGAGAAAAATCCACAACTCCAAATAGTAGCAATTTTTAAAATGTACTTTAAAAATTACCTGGAATAATAAAATTATATAACTTTTCCATCACCTTCTTCATAAGTTGATTGAACTTTTTCATTCTTGAACTTGCGTCACTGAAAGAATCCAGTTTTGCTAGGCCATCTTCCAGGATATAAATCCCAACCTACAAAGAATCGTCAACATAAAAGTAATTTCACTTGAAATATATCATTCTTAATGAGGAGATCAGGGAGGAAAAAAAACATTTTTAGTGAAACTATTTTATAGTATTTGTACCCATAAACACCGGATACATACCTACAAGATCTCTATACATTTTCATGTTCAATAATTCATCCCACAAATGCAAATACCTACTCTGTGTGATGTACCACTTGAATTACTGGAAAAGAATATGTCGCTAAGTGGAACCAAACTAACCTCAGTTCTAGTTAGGAAATGAAAGAACAAATTCTACCTAGTGAAATCACTCACTCCTAAATCTGATGAGCATGACATGATTAACAAAGATTGTTAAAAATGTAGCCGTCCCTGGAAGATTCCAATGCACAAGCTAAGATTCTCGCACAGAGTTAGGCTTGGGAAATATTATTACTGGATTTAATAGTCAAATATGTAGGAGAACCTTGGTTAATGTTAAGTATCTCGAGTCTAGTAAAACAATAGAGTATGAGGTTTTGCAATTGAAACTCAAATTTGTGTAATGGCAATCATATTTAGGACTTAAATTAACTCAGAAATAATATAAAATAACTTTTATTTTAATCCAAATATCCTCATTCACAAATGAGAAAGCCTAAATAATATAATTTTAAAAGGTTCTAATAGCAGACAGTAAATACGAGCTTCCATCCTTTCTTCAGATTTTCTGGGCCTAACTCCCTAACCACTGAGTTCTCATATTCTTTCGCCAGAGGACAAGAATCCACCAGTATTACATAGGAATGAGTGACAAAACTAGATTTTATTATTGTGCTTGCCTTGTGTTCAGAGATGGTTTACTGTATCTCAATAAATGTTTAAATATGGAAAAGAAGGCCAGATAAAAATGGAATAGATCAAGACTTGGTTTGCAGTGGGAAAGTGACAGAATGTAAACAGAACTATGAATTCTAACATACTTGGCACCACTAGGCCATGATTTGGCACTAACAATCAGAAGACAAGGAATTGGTTGGCCAGGTACATCACTGCCCAGGGAAGAATTGGCATTCTAAATTTTCTCCTTTCCTTAATTCTGCAAATATGAATAAGACTACTGATCCAATTATTTTTAATGTGAGAAATGTATATGAAACAATTTTCATTGAAACAAAGATAAACAATTTGAAACTTTTTCAAGTTTTATCACGAAAGCATGTCAAGCTCTTTGTGAGCTTTAGTTATTTAGGACTTTTGACAAACTAAGAAAAAAAGAATACACATTATCTTTCATACAGAGGCATGTTGAAATTAAGAGTATTTAAATGATCTGCATAAAATTATATGCCTAGTGGCTAAAGATGGCAAAGCCTAAATTGATTTATATATTTATCCATTTATTTACTGAAGGTCCACTTACTTATCAGACAATTTAATGGACTATGAAGATAAGACTTCACAGTCTAGCAAGGGAGAAGCACCTAAAATGAAGTACCACACATTAAGTAATAGGTATTCTGGAGAACGGGCACCTACTACCACCCATAGGACTTACAAAGAGAACCCCACGCATGCAGTAAATTCTGAATGGAATACTAAAGAACAAACAAGAGTTTCCAGGAGGATAGTAAGGGGACAATCCAGGTGGACGGAACTGTGTGAGCACATCGAATACACAGAATGACAGGATGTCTGCAAGAAACATCACCTTGGAGTTTCGGGGGTAAGATACAAGGGATGAGGCTTAAGGACCTAGCAAAGGAGTGACCTGTGTGCTGGACTAGAAAGCTCATTCTTAGTAGTGCAAGCAGGAAAGGAGTGCATCATGGGCTACTGCTCTGGAAATCAGGTAGAGGAGGCACTGGAAAAGGCCAGTCAGGAGAGAGACATGGCTGCTGCCATCCGAGAAGACATGATGAGGACCAAACAAGCCAGGGGCTTTTCAGGTCTTCCAAGTTATCTTCAAAATGAGCTGCGACAGAGCAGAAGCCCAAAACACTGCAGAAACTCAGTACCTTGATAATGTGACTTCCTTCTGGTCTTTGATAAAGTTTTATTCTTTTCTTCTTTTGTAGCCATCCCAGGTCTTCTAACATTTCACCACTGAAGGATGATTCCACACGAACCCCCTCGTCACAAATGTTGACTGATTCTTTGAGTCCCTTTTCTTGTTTCTCGGCATCTTCGCATTCAGAATGAGTATGTATCAGGAACTGACTGCTTGACTCTGAACTCATCAAAGTAAAACTCCTCTTGGAAAAATTTTCAACTAAACTCTGTTCAGGAAGAAGCCGAAGAGTTAATTCTCCCAGAAATGCCTTCCAACATGTGTCGAAGTCATACGGAAAAATCACAATATTCAGTTTCACACACAAAGAGGGAAGATCAGTTTCTTCTTTCTCACTTGTCATTGGGAAGCTCACAGCCTTGGAACACCTCTTCTTATCTCTGTGAACCACTTCTTCCTGAGGACCATCATCCACATCATCCAGGAGGATGCATTGTGGAGAGGAGTCGGGCCCTGGGCAGTGCTGCTCATCCTCGGCTAGGGACAGCGGCTCATTTCTCCTGTCCTCGTGCATGTTCCAACGAAGCTGCTGCTGCTTCTCCTCATCTACCTTCACTGGGGGAGCCCGTTTCCGCCGGCTGCTCATTTTCACGTTTCCTTGTTCAATAAATGTGAATTCTAAAAAAGAAATGAAATAGCAGGAACGCCAAGTGAAGATTTTAATATGTAAATGCTTCTAGCTGAAAAATTCACTACAAAGTCACTGTCTATACACATAATACAAAATCTTTGGAGGAATTCATAAAAAGCAGTGAGTAATTTTTATATTAGATATATCTGAGAAATATACTATCCATAATCTCATGTATCAAATTCTAATGATTTTACTGGCTTCTACTGGATAAACCTAGTAAAGATGATCTGTTGTGTAAAGTACATTCTAAAAATAATTTGATAAGTAATACAATAAGAAAGTAAAATTCTCACATGGCATGGAAATGATAAATGGAATGTGTTAGTAATATCTAAACTCATAATTATTATAGAATTTCAGTGTGGATTTATAATCCCAAAATACTAAAAAAAATTCCACTTGACCCTTATATATCTTACAAACCCCTAAAAATCTTTTTTATTCCAAAGGTGGAAAAATGAAAAAAAAAATTATATTTGTTTTGGATCAGAAGATTAAAAAAAAAGACTGACAATTGGTCAAGAAAGTATAGATGGTGTTGAGAGAAATGGGGGAGTGAAAGAATGTAAGAAAAAGGTTGAAAGAAAAGAGGACTTAGTCATCTCAAAAGAGGAAAGAGGCTGAAATGTAGCCCTAAACTGTGCCATTTGTGTATGAAACACAGAACTCATATGAATGAAATAAGGAATTCTTTCGGTGGTTGGTATCCACTTCAGACTAGTAGCTGGTGACATAAGAGGGTAAAAATTAAAATTTGGCTTCAAGCCCTTTAAAACATATTCTGAACAATTCCATTTTTTAAACAAAACCTCATTAGGTATTTGCTGAGTCTATACCAAGGAGTCAGCACTGTTCAGTATTTTGGGAGAAGAATCAAAATAAGTATAAATCAAATCATAGGCTGTAAAACAGAACAGGTAAAAAATTTAAGTTCTGGTTTCTTGATAACAAACAGAGCAGACAGAGAAGTCTGACTATATGGCTGTACCCCTACTAACTCTGTACTCCTATTTATCTGCTCCAAACCCAGGAAAGATGAGCGATGTCTTTTAAAGAAACTAATGAAGAGTGCAGAAAGCCTTGTTTAAAAAAGGACTAAAGTACAGGAGAAATCTGAGTTGCCCAGAAACTTGAGAAATTCCTAAAGAATACAAAATGAATCTAAAACGCTAAGGAACCCCAAGGCAGGTATTAGTGTAAAAGACAGGAACAACTCACCAAGAAGATCTCCACACTCAATGTTGGTGCACATGGGGGAGGCCAAGCGAGGGGTCAGAGACAAAGCTCAGCATGGGGACCTACTCTATCTTTCCTAGCCAAGGTAGCTAAAGTGGAAACATCTATTTTCTGATGGAAGCTGTGCTAACTGGAGAGCTAGCTGTCTTTTGTTATTGACTACTACAGGAAAAGCCATTGATAGAAGACTGTATTAGAAGAGTCTCATCAATCCTTACTCTCACTAAAGACAGCAGAAAAAAGTCCAGCAGCTTAAGCAAACCTTACAAGCAGACCATGAAAGTGAACTCACAATGAACGACAGACTTCTAGGGAATCTCTAACTGAAGAAAAACAATCAATAAATACAAATGTCACCTACAACACAGAAGCGGAAGTCTGTTTTTTTAACGTATTTGGTACAGGGTCTCACTATGCACACCTGGAATCAGTCTCCAGTTGAGCATGCCCTAGGGGTGGGGCTGGTGCAGTATGCAGGACCAGGGATCAAACCTGGGTCCCTGTGCTTGCTGAGCTATCTCGCTGGCCCGAGAAGTTGCAGTTTCAATAAGACTTTCCAATACAGAGTTAAAATCATCACATCTTTAGGGAGAGTACACGCTGTTTTTAACACAGAGAAGCAGAAACTAGTAATAACTCCTGCTTAGGATGCTGAGCAATTTTAGAAAAGCAAACTATATTACTAAAATTTGAAAAAGAAAAATAATGGGTCACTGATTCAATAGCAGAATGGGTATAACTACAGAGCAGACAAATTCCCCTACACGCTGAGCAAACTTCCTGTTTTGCCTGGGAGTTTTCTCATTTAACCTTTCAGTACAGGCAAACCACAGTGGTGTGTGGCCTTCTCACAGCTTATCCCTTTTCATAAGAGGTAGCCATATGAACAATAAATAAAAAGAACTTGGCCTTTATCTCATTACATGCAAGAATTAACTCAAAAAAGGTCAAAAACTAAAATATAATGCTAAAACTATAAACCTCCTAGGAAAAAAAATAAAAATTTAAGTGATATTCATTAGGTTAAAAAAAAAAGGCAAAAGATTTAAGTAGGACACAAAACGGACTATGCAAGACAATAAGTTTCATCACAATTAAATAATTAGACTTCTCATAAGATACTATGGAAATAAGTAGGCAACCCATAGATGTGAAGAATAATATTAGCAAAAGAAGTATCTGAGGCAGGATTTTACTGTAAAATGCATATTGTAAAAGACATGAATGACCTTATTTTTAAAATGGGCCAAAATTCAGAACAAATACCAAAAATGACTTATAAATGCCAAATAAGCACATAAAGGTATCTTCAGCATCGCTAGTGAGACAACATGAAGTCAATCACAAACCACAACAAGATGCCTCAATTTGTCTCCTAGAACAGTTACAATTGGGGTGGGTAGCAACCAGAACTGAATTTTCAAGCATTACAACATGGCTGAGTTGCTTTGGAAGTTTATCAGTTTTTAATAAAATTAAACGGGATGAAAACTAGAAGCAACTATCTGTCACATGGTAAAAAGGTAAAACTATAGCATAGTCACACAATGGAACACTATCCTATGATAAAAAGAAACAAACTACTGATGCACACAGCATCACAGGAAACATGAAGAGAGCTCAGACATCCATTTACATGAAAGCTAGAAGGGTCACAAACCTGAGTAGTAGAAAGCACAATATGGGCACAGGTGACTGAGAGCAGACAAGCAGAAGGAAAGATTTTGTGGAGACAAAAATATTCTATGCAGGGTGTTTATATGATTGCATGTTACACACTTGTCAGAACTCATCAAATTGTACATCTAACATTGAATTTTACTATATATAAATTATGTCTCAACAGAGTTAGTTTAAAAAGCAAAATGAAAGAACAGACGTAGGAGGGATTTCACAAGTATAAGAGAATATTAAAAACAGCTTTATTTCAATAAACTTAAAATCTTTATGAAGCAATTTCCTAACATACTATACATGAAAAAGAAAAGGCCTAATAAATAGGAAATCTGAGTAGATTGATAACCATAAAAGAAACTGAAATAAAAATACTACTTACTTTCATAAGATCTACCCCACTTTGCTGAAGGCCCATATCTCTTACTTAGGAACATGGTGGCTGGTGACCCCGTGCTTCATGGGGTCACCTCGTGTGCTGTCCTCAGGAGCCACAAAGAAGTAGTTCTGTCTACTACGGGCCAAAGCAAGTCCAAAAAGGTGGTGAGAAGGCTGTTTGTGGATATCTAACTTAAAATAATAAAATGCAATATTACAAGAAATGCAACTCCTCTATCTCACCAGTTCCACAGCAAGTGTTTACATGTTATGTGTGACTGGTGTCTGCACTACCAGAAGGTCCATGCATAGAACACTTGTGTCTCTGCGAATGTCTATGCTGGTCTCAGTTAATCAACAGAGCACCAGACCCCTAGCCAACGCTCAGTTTATGAATATGCAGGTTTATAATTTATAATTTAATAAAGGTTTATAATTAGTCTCTGGCAATGGGTAACTACTTTGCACACATTTTATCCTCTGTAATTTTATCTCAGAGAAGTAACATATAGAAAGTTCCCCTACTTTTGTTAAGTGTTAAGATGTGTCCAGTTATCCTGAGGGCACTAACTGGAATGTGGGAATTGGGTGACCTGCCGAACAGTCAAGAAGTTAAGTTATACCAGCTTATCAGTTAATTACTGCCACAACGTGCTGTATAACACACCACTGAAAAGCTCACTGCTTTAAGGAAGCAATCATTTTTTTTTTTCCTCTGATGAATCTGCAGGTGAAACAAGCTATTTCTACAACAGTAAGTTTTTCTGTTTACTATAGTTCTTATCCTTCTGGAAGCAAAGAAACATCTCAAAATGTCCTATGGCAAAGGGCGAAGAATTAAAGGGCAACTCCAATCATGTAAAGTGTGTGAAAACTACTTAGAAAAATCACCAGGAAATATGGTTTGCCAATAAATCCCATTGATGGACCTAAAATCAAGAGGTAAGGAAATATGCCACATTTCTTTCCTGGGTAGAACAACACATGCAAAGTACGTGAATATGGGTTGTATGCTTGTGTGAAAGGAACTGAGCCAGCTGCAAAAATCACAACAGCCATAACTCTGAGAGCTCAAAAGCAACTGGCTTTTAAGCTCACATCTGCAAAGCCTCGAGGTGTGTAGGAGAGTGTGGGCTTCTTAGTCTTACATTCTAATTCCAGCGTTCACATTTATTAGCAATGACATTGAAATAGATAAAGTACCTCATTCCTCTGTGCCAGTTTTTTCATTGCTAAAATGAAAAAGACAGGAAAATAGTGGCTAGAAATAACTGAAGTACCATAGCTGAGTACCAGAAATATATATTCATTAAGTGGCAGTTAATATCATCCTGAGAACACTCTAAGCTACACTTTACAATAACCAAACTCTAATGGGACAGGACGAGGAACCAAAGACCAGTGCTTGTTAAATTTAACAAATCTTTAAAAGATGACTTTTAAAAATCCTGATGCCCAAGTGGCACCCTAGCCAATTAAATTAGATGTCTGGGGGGGGGGTCACAGGCACTATTTTCCTTATTTTTTTTTTTTTTTTAGGCTTTGTAAAATATTCCAGTGTGTAGCCAAAGAAACTACATTATGGATACACAGTTGCCTAGTAAAATCCATTTCTTTCCTTCCAAAGGATAGATCAGTTTGGAAATGGCAGACCAGCTTAGCACAGTCCCAAGACTCTTTCTAGCCAATGGGATGTGTGCAGAAGTAATATGTGCTATATTTTTTACAATAAAATTGTAACACGGATATTATTATCACCATACATTCCTTAACTATTCTGTTTTCTGGTGTCTTTTAAATTATGTATGATAATTTGCACATTCTTTCAGATGTTGCCTTTCAATCTGACTTTTCTGGTATTATGAGTTTCAAGGGTATTATTTATGAAAATGATAAGTTAGATAAAAGTAACACTAGCATTTATAGCGAAGTTCTTCCTTTATCCAGTTCTCAACTGAGCAACATTTATTATTAAAAAAAAACAAAAAAAAACTTCTGGTTGACATTTTCCCCAAGGGATCTCTATCTAGGGTTAACTTCTTAAACTAAAGAAGATATTATCCAAAGTAGCATGCAATCAAAATGATAATTGACAGTTAGTAGTGGTAAAATCCTATGATTCTGCATTTATATACCCCATCGTCTTCTTTATCTCCAAACCATACAAATCACACCTTGGGTGGTTCTACTTCTTTCTTCTTCTTAAAAATCTAGTGTTTGGGCAAAACACGATTACATAAAAATGTTCTTCATGTTCCAACTTAAATGCAGAAAGACCTTTGCTGTAAATGCCTGTCCTGCCACTTGTGTCTCTCATCTTTCCTAGAAAGCCTCAAATGAACAGAACTCTCCTCCCAGATCCTAACTGAGACAGCATATCTTATTCACTATTGTACCCTCCAGGCCAGGTCTGCTCCAGGATGCAACTGCACACAGCACAAAATAGGGTGAAACAATGATGTCTTAACTACCCAAATAGCTCCCCTTACTTCAAAGAGCTAACAGAACTTTCTTAAAAATTTCCTTTCACAGAAAGAAGTCTCTTATCCACTTTCTACTAGACCGCAGATCAGCGGTGGAGAACCTATGGCCTGCACGGCACAACAGGCTGTCTGTACACTGAAGCCACTAAAATGTTTGCCACCACTGCAAATAGGAAACTATTCTTTACAATTTCTGCCCCCAAATGTGGCAAACAAACCCCAAAGAAACATGACCAAACTTTATCTTAATTGAAGACAAACATGGGTAGTAGTTATTAAGAGAATATAACATGTGAATGCGTGTCAACTTAAATGCAGTTTTCTCACCATAATTACTGTATCTTTATTAAAAGATAATCCAAGGTCCTGAATTTTCTAACAAATGAATGACAAATCATGGTTCAGACAATGAGGAGTACACACATTTGCCACAAAGCTGTCCAAAGTGTTGGCTGTTCTAACAAAGTCCAATCATTACAGAGGACTGAAAAGCTCTAATCACTTAAGCATAACCAAGTTTTTCTTTTCTATCCCCTCCCCACCCTAGTGGGGAATCCATGCCCTCACACTGATCTACATTCCCAATGTAGATTTTTTACTTTGAGACAGGTATTTATGAAGTTGCTAGATTGCTTTGGCTGGGATTGAATTTGCTATAATCCTGCCTCAACCTCCCAGTGTTTTACCTTTACTGTAGTGATAACTCTAGCAGGGAAGTGTTTCTTTTCTTTTTAATTCCAAACTCAGGCCCCTGTGCTTGCCAGGCAGGCACTTATGCCACTGAGCTACAGATATCCCTGGTCCCAAATTCTAAAATATATGTTAGTTATACAAATTTGAAAAATGCCCTAATAAGAAGCTTTTTCATCAGTTTGTTTTCCACAACTCTTAATAAAAGATTTGTTTTAATAAATTTACAACTTCATTTCCTTTAGGCTAGTCAAAGAGAATATATAATACTATATTTCAGAAATTAACTCATAGTCTCAAATGCTTATATAATTGGTCTTCGAAACTGTAGGAAACAGTTACCCAGCGTTGAATTATCTCAATACTAGGCTTGCAGCATGGTTACGATCATAAAGTCTTTCCTATGTCAGAGACATTATGGATAACATTCAAAGAAAGATGATCATTTCTCACTCCTGCTACCACCCACCGGAAAAACTGAAAACAGCAGTACTAACTTTTAAATTACGTTATTAAATTACGTGAAAGCCTCAAGTTAAGTACAAGCAAGGAAACACTTGGCGCTTCCACTTGGTGCTGATGTCCAGCCGTCTAGAACAATGCACCCATTCCATGGCGATTATCTAATAATTCTGATAGGGCCGATCAATCATTAGATCAACTCACCCCTTCGTTCGGGAACCTAGCACTACTCCTGAGCCAAAAGAACAACGCGCAAGAGTGGCTCTCAAAGCCAACATAATTAATCAGACCGCAAAGCTGTGAACTAGCAGACGAACTTAGAAGTCTCTACCTTAAGCTCCACACAAGAAGCTACGCGGCTGCCCGCTTCCAACTTCCCGGGCTTAATCTATGCCAGAGGATACTGCCATCTAGGATTCGTCCGAAAACACCCCAAAGAGGCTCCGAGCGTCAGGCAAACAGGCTCTGGAGAAGCCCCGGACCTCGGCGACAGATCCGCTGACGCCGCGCCGCGCGCCCCTGCACGCTGCGGGGAGAAGCGCGGCCTCCCGCCCGCGGTCCCCGCCCGACCCGGGAGCCGAGGCCCCAACTCCGGGATGCGGCTCCCTCAAGCCCTAGAGCTCGCCGGCGCGAGACGAGCGTCCGCCGGGGCACGGGGAGGCCCGAGACCTGTTCCCTCCCTACCTCTGACCCCTGACCCTCCATCACCCGGGAGCCCACCTAGGCTGGGTCTCCAAACCTCTCCAGTCTCTCCGCGCCGGGCCGGGCCCCGCTAGAACCCCGCAGAGATCGGGCGGGCATTCGCCACCCACCGAACACCCGCCTCGGGCGGGCGCGCTCGCTCTAAGCTGCAGGTTGTTTTTGTTGAGCTTCCCGGAGGGGCCCAGAAACCATAGCGTCCTGACACCGGGCGCGCGCTGCAACGTGAGGTCAAAGTGAACGCGCACGTCGGGGCGCCCCGCCCCTCCTTACCCTCATGGGCTTCAGCAATCTCTTCTGCGCAAGTGCGCTCAGTTAAAGCCCTCCGAGGAAACCTAGAAAGTCTCGCGATAGTTCTGCGCCCACGCCATTACGGCTTACGCGATTGGTTGCCATGCCGCCGGAGGCGGGGCAGTAAGCAGGTATGGGCGGAACTCCTCGCCTGAGAGGCGGAGTACCCTTGAAGCGAGAGATGGCTTCAAAAGGTTTGTAGCTCTAATAATAGAACAAGAAAGAGTTCTTCAAAAATATTTATTTTATTGGTGTAAGAAACCAACTACTAATGAGGTACAAGTGAAGCCTATTTCCCTCAAAAGTTTAAAACTTTCAACAGAAATGTAAGTCAACATTTCAAGAGAAAAACTAGCTGTGACGCTAGCTTTCCAGTATTTTAGGCGTCTTTTTTGTTTTTGTTTTTGTTTTTTTTTTCCTCCTCTACCTTTTTTCATAGAGTTAAATTTTGTACTTAGTTAACTTTGCCATGACACTTTGAGGCCTCAGGGCCAAAAGCCAGTAAAATAACTCCGGGGAAACATAGAGCATAATGATTAGTGTGTACCTAAAACGGACTCCTGTGGACTGCCATCTGGGAGTGTGTGATTGCGGAAGCACTTAAGTACATTCTTGCCCAAAAGAACGTCCATTGTAGTTGGGACAATCCAAGTAGTCCACATACCCACTACCTAGCATAGACTTTAGAAGATCTCTAAAGAAGCTTGAAAGAAACTATCCACGTAAACTATACCCTGCCGTTTTAGATGGAAATCAGTTGGCTTGGCCAAGATATCTTAAAGCAAGTTGGAAAATGTGCTATTAGAAAAGTGCACAAGTAAAGTTGTTTTTCATGGGAGAATGGATTGCTTTACCAAATGCAAGACTTGATACAACATTTCTTCTGCAAGTGTAATTTGGAACTCAGCGTTTAAAAGCATATTATGCTTTAAAAGGATATCTTTGATAGTTTTATAGTTTTTGGAGCTGAAAATTTAGTTTTAGTTTGGCTGAGTCCACTCAATGCCAGGGCTAACTAATTGTAATTGTAGCAATGATTGTTCACTTTGTTTGGGATAATGTGTAGACCTAATTATGGTTCTCATATTGAATTCTATGCACTGTCACTCATTAGTTAAACTTAATCTAAATTCCCCCTTTTGACTTTTCCAGTGGTATATTCAGTCTTGGTTTTGCTAAGTGCCTTGTTTAGGCATTTGACAAATTTTTCTCTTAAAGTGAAGTTTTCTAATGCTATCATGTACCATTAAGTGATACAGAGCTTATTCCAGAAAAAAAAAAAAAAGGTTCACTTTTGTGGGCTGGGGAGATTGCTAAGTGGAATAAGCACTTCCCTGGCAAGCGCAAGGGCCTGAGTTCAATCCCCGGTTCCGAAAAAGGTTCACGTTTGTATGTCAGCTCTGTGGCAGTCCTCAGCTGTGAGACACATGTTCACCCTGACATTGAGTTCATGTACTATTAGATGTTAATGATCTAAAGACATCACACAAATAAGAACCAACTGTTTGTACATAAGCAGATTTTATTAGTGAGCCCTTAAGTGTTCATACAATTTAAGGGGTTCTTCAAACTATACAGGCATATCAATTGTGTGTTGAATTCCAGATCTCTGCAATAAAGTGAGTATTACAACAGAGTATTTTTTGTTTTCCCAGTAATATATATGTCTATAGTATACTATGGTCTATTAAGTGGGAAATAGCAATATGTCTAGGAAATAGTGTAAGTACCTTAATTTTAAAATATTCTAAAATAGTAATGACCATTGGACCTGACAATGCATCATACTCTTCTTTTTGGCAGCAGGTTGCCTTAATGTTGGTGATTTCTGACTGATCAGAACAGTGGTTGTCAAATATTGGCAATTGCTGAAAATAAGACAACAATGAAATTTGCTAGGGCCGGGGTGATGGCTCAGTAGAATAAGCACTTCCTTGGCAAGTGCAAGGGCCTGAGTTCAATCCCCGGTTCCGGGGGAAAAAAAAAAAAAGAAAAAAGAAAGAAATTTTCTTTATTCCTTTCTTGCCTATTCAGTATCATGAGGTTTCTCTGTACCATTCAATGGTACTTGATAGCATTTTACCCACAGTAGAGCATATTTTGAAATATATCTTCCCCAAGAGTACATTATATGTTAAGAATGTACTTTTCGTATCCACAAGAAACAACTTCTCATCCATGATGTTTTACCTGAGATTGCAGCAATTTAGCTGCATCTTCAGGAGTCACCTTTAGTTCTAGTTCCCTATATATTTCCATACCTGTAAATACTTTCTCCACTAATGTTTTGTACTCATCAAAGTCATATATGACTATTGGAATTACCGTCTTCCAAACTTACTAATGTTCGTAGTTAGACTTCTTCCCTGTATCATGAATGCCATCTAGATTGGTAAATCTTTTTCAGAAAGCTTTCAGTTTACTTTGCACAGGCCCATCAGAGAAATCACTCTCTGAGGCAGATCAAACCACTCAAAATGTTTTCCTTCAGTAGTAAGACCTGAATGTGAAAACAGCTGAAGACTGGATCTTATATTAACAGGTGTTAAAACAACATTTATTTCAGTGTGTATTGCCACCAGAGCTCTTGAGTGACCAAGTGCATTGTTAATAAGCAGGGATATTTTGAAAGAAAACTTTCTTTGATGGGCAGTAGGTCTCAGCAGTAGACTTAAAATATTTAAGAAAAGTATATTGTAAACAGATGGCCTATGACCTAGGCTTTGCTGTTTCATTTATAAAGAACTGGTAGATTTATAAATCTTAAGGACCCTAGGATCTTTGAGTCAATGAATATGCATTTAGCTTCAATTTAGAGTCACTAACCTCTAACAATACATCAGCCTGTCCTTTGAAGCTTTGAAGCTACACAATGACTTCTCTCTATGAGTTCACTAGGCAGCATCTTCTTATAGATGTGTTTAGTCTATATAGAAAATCTGTTTAATGTACCTACCTTCACCCATTACCTTATCAAGGTCTTCAAGGATAACTTGTTGCAGCTTCCACATTGGCACTGCTGCCTCACATTGCATTTTTATCTCGTAGAGATGGCTTTTTTCCTTCAACTTCGTGAACCAACATCTACTAGTTTCAAACTTTTGTTCTGCAGATTTTTTCCTCTCTCAGCCTCGAAAGAATTGAAGAGCATTAGGGCCTTGCTCTAGATGAGGCTTTGGTTTAAGGGAATGTGTTGGCTGCTTTGACCTGCTAAGATAAATAAAACATTTTTCATAGCAGCAATATGTCCATTTCACTTATAATTCTAGTGTTCATTAAGGTAGTATGTTTTTAATTTCTTTTAAGGACTTTTTCACGTTTATAATTCAATTATTTAATACAAGAGGCTTCCCTTTCATCTTATTTCAGCTTGTGACTGTCTTTCAATAAGCTCAACTATTTCCAACTTTTGATTTCAGTGAGGTACATGTGAGACTTTCTTTGATGTGGGCCCTGAAAAGCTATTATAGGATTACTAATTGACCTAATTTCATTCTTTTTCTATCTCTGGAAATAGAGAAGTCCAAGAAGAGGGGAAAACATTTGGTGCATAGGGAAGTCCAAACACACTTATTAGGTTCACCATCATATATAAACACAGTGCATAGTACTCTAAAACAATTTTAATAGTAACACACTAGGTCACTGATTAAAGGTCACTATAACAGATACACTCATAATAAAAAGGTTTGAAATAGTGCGAAAAATGATGTGACACAGAGACACAAAATAAGTATATACCATTGGAAAATAGCACCAATAAACTTGTTGATTCAAAATTGCAATAAACCAGTTTATAAAAACAATTTCTGAGCATGATAAATTGAAGTATAATAAAGTGAAGTGTACCTGTAAATATGAGGGCAGTCAGACCACTTGCTTCCTTGTGTGGTCTTACTGGCTAAAGTTGTGACAGATCCAATTCTTTTTTGGTATAGTACCTTTATGCTTGCTATATCCCTAACTTAGGATATCTGTCCGTTGATTTATTTTACCAATTAGTGACACAAACCATTCTCAAGGAGAAGGACTGGTTGAGAAGTAGATACGTTAGTACAAATGTAACTTCCTTTGGAGATAGAAATAGGATACCTGGTGATTTATTAATGTAGAATTTTTATTTCACAAAGCCTTTTTTATGTTGATTCTTTCGATTCCTAATAATACAGTTTTAAATTTTCATTTTACAGATGAGTAATCTAAGACTCAGAGAAATTTGATAGTTTGCCACAGTTGAACACTAACAGAACAAGAGGATCTAAAATTTTCCTGAGTTTTTTGTAAGTTATTGTTTTTTATTACTGAAGCATATAATCTATCAAATAATGATACACAGTTTAGTCCTCAGACTTACAAGATTAACATGGCAAAGAGGCAAGAAACAATTTTTTGATGACATAGTGCCGTATATGTCAACAATGAGGATTATTCAGTGTCAGTATTGTTTTCTGCTTAACAGAAAGATCATTAACAAAATAACTTGAGAAAATTAATACCATATTATCCTTTCCTTTGCCTGCTGTATGGAAGCTGACCACCGTGTAATAGCAGGATTGCTCAAAATGACTCCTTACCAGTTCCTTTACTATCAGCCTATTGGGAGATTGCTTCCCCTATGACCAAATGAAAATATTAGTGTCAAAGTCACTATTCCAGAATGAATTACAATGCATAGTCCTCTGCTAGAATGCATATAGGATTAACTACAAATGTGATGAAAGATGATTTTAGAAAATTGGTGCTAGCAAGGGTTATTGACTAGTCTGCAAAGAGTGCTAACAGATCAAGCAAACAAAAAATGGTATCAGGGACCAGACATTACAAGGCTATGAGCAGAATCTTTTATGGGACAGGAGGTATCTAAACTGAAGACTTTAGGTGAAAAACTTCACAGCTTTCCTGCAGGTTAGTTCTGGG